TCGGTCAACGTTAAAAATTTTCAAAAGCGTAAAAGTACGGCTCCCAAAGTACGACTCTACGTAGACGACGCGAGTGAGTCACAACGGCCTACCGGTTCAACGACCTAGTGGTTTCATTTCACGTTATATCGTCGAAGAAACGAACGATGCGCGGGAAATCGAGCTGTTAAAGGGAACGAAACTGCGACGTATATATCTATCTCGCGATGAAAAACAATCTGTGTTAGTTTGCGTATGATTGCGAAATCGAAAGAGGAGAGATGAAAGAAATGAAAATAAAATGGAATGCTTTAAACAAGGGAGTACAAAAACATTTTTCCCTCCGGTTTATCGCAATGATATTGCGCTCGAGTTACTTTGGACTTGTCATGATACTTGTTCGGCACTTAGCATTTTTACGAAGCTTTTAACGCCGACCTCTCTCTCTCTCTCTCTCTCTCTCTCTCTCTCTCTCTCTCTCTCTCTCTCCCTCTCTCGTATTCTACCCTTTCGTATTTATTTTATAATCCAAAAGTGAGAAAACATAATTCTCGATCTAATCGTTACAAGACTGTGTCCCTTCGAAACAAATTCCCGCCTAAATCTGTATTTAAATAGAAAGAAGAAGATGAAGAAGGAAAAAGAAAATAATCCTTTTAATAATTGTCACGTTGACGAGCCTATTCCTAGAGTCGCGATCCTTTGAAAGTGTGTCGTTTGAAAGGAGAGCAGGACGTCGACGCCAATGTCCTCGTCGACGAGGAGACTTTTCAAGCGTTCTACGTCACGAGAAAATCCAGGTTACTCGATGTCGTGATACCTGCAAAACCTATTATTTCATTAACTTAGCGCGAAATCAAAGTTTTACGTAATGCCGCTTTATTATTGAATATATCAATCGTTCAGGGAAGAAAATAGAAGAAGAAGGAAAAAAAAAGAAGAAAGAAAAAAGAAGAAGAGAAAAGAGAAAGGGTAAAATAACGAGGGTGACAATTATACGATAGCGGAAGAATAGCTTTTACGTTTCACTGATCGTATCTAATTAAAAATGATATCAATTATATAATTGTGTCGTATAAATTCGAACTAGATCAAGCTCTGTAATATACCTCGATGATATATAATATATACATATATACCTGTTTACAACTTATATCGATAAAGAAGAGACTTTGGGAGAAGAAGTGACATTTTGGAATGCTTTCCAATTTCGCCAAAACCACACGCGCGGCTCTTCGAAACGTGTATACATATGTACATACTAGGCGTGGGCTATTCGAGAAGGTGACGACGTATACCAATAGAAATGCGAAACCACCAGAGATTAAATCCCACGAGCAATAAACGTGAACGATCAGAATTATTTCGGAAGTCTAAGAATCGGAATTTATAAGAGGCAAATAAATAAGAAAGAAAAAAAGAAAACAAAAAAAAAAAAAAAGCAAGAAGAAAAATGAAAATAGACATGAGAAAAAAAAACAGAAAAACAAACGGTTGAAAAAATCAAGATAAGCTCTCTGGAGTTATACATATACTCGTTTCTACGCGCGCGCTTGTTCCGGCTTGCCTGGTCTGTATAATAGATAACATCGTGAATCTGTCTTTCCTAAATATTTTAGGAAAGAACAGGACTTGTATACGATATCGATTCGAAAAATAAAATATATAAGCTCATGTACATTATTTAATGACCCGAATTATACGTCCTTATACGCGCACGTATTTAGGTACGTAGATAAAAATTGAAAAAAAAAAAAAAAAAAACAGAAAAGAGAGAAAAAAGGAACACATTATTCTTTTTTTACTTATTTATCTCTATTTTTTTCTCATTTTTTTTTTGTTAGCTCTTTTATATATACGCGTTATATCGTGTCCTCGCAGAAATTTACAAAATCGTTTCACTAATACGGCTAAAAAGAATTTTTCGAATAATCATTTTCTAATCGTCGCATAGGTACGCGGCTTATCGCGTTCTCGCATTCCCTCCGCCGTTCCCTTATCCTTCCGTATCGAAAGAAAATTCGCAAAATCATGCGCGTTACAAATGACTTTTCTTATCATAAAACGATCTTTCTACTTCCTTCTTTCTTGTTTCTTTCTTTTACTTTGACCACACGCTTTGACAATAAATAAGAAATTTGTACGATTGCGTAGGATGCGCGAATGATATAGAATCCTGATAAAAAAAAATATAAGTATTCGTAAATTTGAAATAATTTCATGGTAAAAATCGAGAATCTCGGTTCACAAGGAAACGAAAGAGAGATTTCTTCGAGGATAATAAAAGTTAAAATAGGTATGGGAAGAATTTTGTTAAAAAATTCTTTTCTCCCGAGATACATATATACAGGTAGAACAGACGTCGTTAAAGCCGTCGCGGAGTAGAGTTTTCGATTACGCGACGTGCCGATCAATCACCGTAGAACGAAATGTCACCGAGTCACGATCGTAAGCTTGGATTAATTCGTAAAGGATGTAAAGAAAATCTAGTAATGTGGCCCTTTTTATATCGACATAAGCCACGTAAATAGATACTGTCAGCGTCGTAACTTCAATGAAATTCATTTATCGAATTTAAAAGTTTAATCGAGCTTAACAAATTGTATCGTCATTGACAAACTCGTTCGGGTGTTCTCGAATTTCTTAACACGTTTGATTATGAAAATAATATTATCGCGCCTCTAAAAGATAAATTAAGTAAAGCAAAAAAGGGAAAGTCGATAAACTGGCGATCAATTTGGCGCGAAAGATTCGAAGAAACTTATTTAAATTAAACGCGCGAATACGATCAGAAGTTTCGCCAAGGGCAGTTTTCATTTCGTTCCGATGACCGATAAAATTGCTGTCTCGGTGCGGCCGACTTCATAGAAATTGGATTTTCAACGTGTCGCATAGACGATCCTTGACAGCGACCGAAACCGTATTCTCCCTGTCAACTTTAAAACCGTACCGATCGATCGACGTCCGATCTTACCTAATCTCGACTTTGCAAAGAGTTTCTACCTGCTCGCTCGGTTTAAATCGAGTTACCTAGTCACATTATCATGTGCCGTTAGAAGGCAATTTTGATTCATTCGTTTGCTACTTTACGCATTTTTATTACAACAAATCCTATTTCAATGCCGTTCAACCGACTTTGCTTGGATACAAACTCGCAATCGATTCTTCGTGCGAAATAGTCGAACGATAATCGACGAGCTTTCACGAATTTCGTAAAAGGATTTATCCGTATAAAAAATAGATTGCAAGAAAAAGAGAGAGAGAGAGAGAGAGAGAGGCAAAAGACACAAGTACGACGTGTCATTAATTCTCTCCATACACAGGCACCAACGCGTTGTAATTTCGCGAATACACATTCTATTTCTACGAACAGCGACTGCGTAGATTTCGTTCCTTGACGACAAAATTTCGCGTCTTGATTTTTCTACGTTTTATTTACGTATGCACGTAAGAGGTTAATCGATCGAAACGGGTAGGTCGAACAGAACAGAACAAGTGGAATCGATAATTTCCAAGCCTCGCGACAAACCAACCGAAACGTCCTATCTACGTACCGAAGAGAGTTGTACCGGTAGTGTAACTAACTTGCTCCTAACTTATTCGAAACCCACACGCAGGAATAAGGAGATCGATCGATCGACCATAAGGAAGAAAAAGAAAAAAGGGCGGTAAAAAATAGCTTTTCAAATTTCGCGCCTTTTTCGAGTTGTATGAGAAATATGGCGCTTACTGCGAATGTAACAAGAAGTGCTAAATAAATTTTTATGAGAAATAGAGAGAGATGGATGAACCGGATGAATCGAGTCGATGATCGAAAAAGTTTCCGGCGGTGAGTATTTTGCGCGCGGTCACTGTCACCGGCGGCGTATCGACATTATTCTCGACATCGAGGATGTCAACCGACGGTAGTCCAGACAATGACCGACCATCTCCCTCCCTCCCTCCCTCCATCCCTCTAACCCCTAATTTCCTCCCACTCAAGAGGCATGGCCTGAAAAACACACGAGACACGCACGGGAGCGATTAAAGCGGAGTATCGCGGGAGAACGTGTCGCGAGTTTATTTACGGCGTCTAATCGTATGATATAAACTAAGGGGGACAGAGAGAGGGAAAAAGAGAGATCTTCCAAAAGTATCCGGCGAACGATCGAACGAAGAGGTAGAAGAAGGACGCAGCAAAGAAGAGTCAGAACACTCTAGGGAGTCCCGTTTTGTGCACTTGACACGTAGCGACACGTAGACGGCGTTGCCCAGAGTAAGTAAGAAAGAGAGAGAGAGAGAGAGAGAGAAAGAGAGAGAAAGGAAGAGGGAGTGAAGGAGAGAGAAAGAGAGAGGGCGAACGTGAAAAAAGGAAGACCGGAGAATGCAGGAGTTTACTTGGAGATTAGAGATTTGCGCGTGCCAAAGAACCAAGCAAATAAAATAACGTTTAATAATATCAAGTGAAAAAGGTATCGTATTAAGAAAGAGGTAACTCCTACCTGACTTTGCCACCGCAGAATTGGCAAGCTGGACCCTGCCATCCCTCGCGACACAAGCAAGTACCATTGACGCAATCCCCGTTGATGCAGCTCTCGCTGTCGCAGCTTGGTTCCGTTGTCGTCGTCGTCGTCGACGAGGAGGAGGAGGCCGCCGTAAGGTGCAGGAGCCAACAGCAGAGCAACGCCGCCCACCAGAGCGGAGGCAAGCATGGCAACGTGATCGCACCACACTCTTGAAAGCGTGTCAGCTCTACTTGCCGTGAAGGCCGACGACGTTTCCGACGGTACTTTGACTTATACAGAAACAAAAACATCTGCACGATCTCTGCCATTTTGATAGGCTTCCATGTCAGAGACAATGGCCGACGGCGACGCACCGAAGAAGAAGAAGACACATACGGAAGATGAATGCACTTTCGCCTCTTTCGAGCGCGACGGTTAACCGTTACTGGCACACTCGTCGTCCCTCGATCGTTCTTGCCTTCTCTGGGTCTCGCGCGCTGCTTCTCCACCGCTCACGATCCCTCTTTTCCGCTCGCGCCGCCCTTCCACTTTCGCACCGTGGTACTGTCTGTACATGCTGTGTCTCTTCGGACAACGGCGGTGGCGGCGGCGGCGGCGGCGGCGGCGGCGGCGACGGCGGCGGCAGCGGCGGCGGTGGCAGCGGCGGCTACCCTTCGCCGGCTCTCGATCACGAGCGCCCTCTCAAACTCCGAACTCATCCGAATAATGTCGAATCTTTCCGATCGTCTATCTCCTTCTACTGGAAATACCCGCCATTCTTTCAATCCAAGCGTTCGCCAACATTACTCTATTCTATTATCTCCTTTCGATTAATTTTCTACACATATGGAATAATATCATTTTCAACGCTTTTATTTCACATCCATACATATTATCGTCGATCGATCGATATCCATCTCTTATGTACGTACGTACGTATATTTGTTTAATATCGTTGATACGCCTCGATCTAAAATAAACTAATAAAACGTGCTCGTTTCTACGACGAATCTAATCAAAATATAACGTATAAATTATTGAGATATATGACCTGAACGCGAACGTTATCGATCGAGCGACGTTTTCCTCGTACTCCGTCTGAACGCGTCGCATACGTCCAAATGAAAACTCTTACTGACGGATCGGTAAACTTCGTGAACATTCGTACCGATAATAGTAAAAGACCATTGGACCGATCTCCAACGTCTCTCTCCGTAATAATTTACGGTAATAAATGACGTCACGCGTATAACCAACAACGCGCTCACTCTGATATGATTCTGAGTACGAGGTGCTGCCAGTAATGAAAGAAACCGCCACTCGACGCTTATTTCCTCGACGGTTTGTACCGTTTTCTGTAACTAACAAGCTTATCGCTATCAGACTTACGACGCATGAATTCCTTTTCCTAACTATTTTTCCATTAGTTGTTATCGTATCTGAAAAAAGGAAAAAATCCTTTTATTATAAAAATTACCGCGAAATATCGACGGATTCTCGATATTCCGAAGCATATGTACGTTTTTCACGACAAGGATGTCGAACGTTTAACATAAGTTCATTTTTAACATATCGTGTCTACTTTTGCGTGACATTACAATGTATCTATGTACACACATAGCACACACACACACACGAACACACACACACACGCACACATCAGACACCACATATATCTATGTGTATATAGACATACGTGAAAGGACAAAGTTGCGAAGAACAAAAAAAAAGAATATCGTAACGTAAATGTATAAACAAAATTTTTTATATGCAATCGTTTCGGCATATTTTTCGGCAAATCTTCATCTAAATTTCTTTTATATAAATTTTATCAAAATTTTACCTAAACTTATTATTTTGTCTTTTCTTTTTGCAAAATTCTTCGGTAATCTTTAAAAATAATTAAGTCTGTTCGTGCGTGCAATTAATTCTATACCGTTGAAAAATGCTTGAAAAATCGATCTTTTATTAACTCGTAAAATACATCGAAAGAAATAGAAAGAATTATTATAATTCTATAAGCTAATCTAAAAAAGAAATGGCAGGAAAGAAGAAAGGTGGAAGAGGTAAAAAAGGAAGGAAAGAAACGAAAATAATTGACGAGTATCAACTCCGTCGCGATTTAAGAGGGAGAATAGAAACGGAGGATTTAAATATGGACGAAGAAATTGAAGAAAAACTACCTGAAAAAGTAGCCGCGGAAGTTTCTTCAGAAATTAAAATCGGTGGTATAGAGGGGTAAGTTTTCTAAACGAAATTAATTACACATTTACGATAGAAATTAAATATTTTTCGAAGAATAATCTTAAATATAATCTTTGGAGTTTATAATGAATACTTGTAAAAATAGATAAGAGAAGGAAGATTATAATAATGAAACAAAACAAAATATCAAAATACATATATCTTCCTTACTTTTCGTTTATAGAGGGGGTACCTATTCCACGCTTGTAATACTCAATCATAAAGGTGAAAAATTGATAGAAATTAAGGGCCCCGATACCAATCATTGGGTAATTATAGTCGTGATATATCTAAAGATTTGAAAATAATATTCCGATTAATAAGTAAATTTAACGTTACGAATGTAAATTAGGTTCTGGGGATAGAAGAAACGGCCGCTAGGATTAACGCGATGATCGAGCATGGCAAAGAACTATTGGATATACCGAAAACGGTTCCCTTGGACTGCGTGGTATTTATTTTACATATGAAAAAATTATAAATGATAGTAAAAATGTACATTTTATTCGATAAATTTGTAGGGTCTAAGCTTAAGCGGTTGCGAGGAAGAGACTACCAATAATCTTCTAATTAATATACTTCTAAAGGAATATCCAAATGCTGCTAAAGATTATTACGTTAGTTCCGACACGTTAGGTAGTCTCAGAACTGGTTTAGAAAACGGTGGAATCGTACTAATCGCTGGAACAGGAAGTAATGCCCTACTGATTAATCCGGATGGAAAAACTCATGGATGCGGTGGATGGGGTTATATGATGGGAGACGAAGGCAGCGGTAAATATATAAATCGAAATTAATGAATTTTCTAAATATTCATACGCGTTATATTATTAAGAGAATCGATTTCTTACTCGTAGCGTATTGGATCGCACATCGAGCCTGCAAATACGTTTTCGACGACATAGACGACCTAGTGAAGTCTCCTCATCCTATTTCTTATATCTGGCCGGCGATGAGAGACTTTTTTCAAGTGAAAGACAGAACAGACATGTTACCGCATTTGTATTCGAATTTCGACAAGAGTAAATTCTCCATGTTCGCTAAAGAAATCGCAATTGGTTGTGAGAAAGAAGATCCTCTTTGTCTTGCCATCTTTGAAGAAACCGGTCGACTTCTCGCTCGACATATCGTGGCACTTTCCAAAAAAGCCCATAACGTGAATTTCGATTAACAAAAATATTCCTACCTAGATCAAATTCCATTTAACGTCATATATATATATATATATATATCGTCCTATTTTTTAGGATCTTAAACTATGTCATGGCGGTCTTAAAGCGATATGCGTTGGATCCGTTTGGAAATCGTGGAAATTCATGAAGGACGGTTTCATGGATGAAATTCACAGTGGATTGGTCGTCGATGAACTTAGTCTTCTCAATCTAACGGCTACGTCCGCGTTGGGATCGTCCTATCTAGCTGCTGAAAAGATCGATTGCCCTTTCGTTAAGTCTTACGACGAAAACGTACAAGTCTTTTTCCATTATAAACGCGATAATTACAGTAAAATAGAAAATTCACAACGAACTCGACAGTGCATAAAAAATGATAATGATGAAAATATTAAAATAGTTACAACTACTTGTTAAATTAGAATATTTAATATTTCTGTCCGAGATAATTGAAGGTTACATCGATAAGAAACTAATGATACCTATTTAACGACTTCTAAAGGCTGCAATATTTCTACAGTTGTAACGGTCATACAAAATGAATAAAACATTTTAATAAGAATTTATCACTGCGATGCGTTTTATCGTTTGATAGAAATTTAACGCTAAATATTTACGTAATAATGATTATAATTTAATAATATAAAAAAAAATTCAGTTTAAAAAATTGAAGTACGATTCGGACGTGGCGCCAAGAATGCAGCTTTTAAAATGTACAAAATTAAAATGTCTTTTTTAACCTGTAATTGATTTCATTCGAAATTTCATCACTTTTTAAAGGAAATGGGAATAAAAAAACTTTGGGATGCCTTTTGGGAATGCATATATCAGGCAGCTGGAGTTATCGTTAAAATCATACTTTATTTTATTCTTTTTCTACTCAGTTTAATATTCTTTATCGCATCCACGATTGCAACTGTATTTTTTGTCCTATATCTTCTCGGATATGTAACGATGGAAAATGACGAACATAGGCAATCATAGATAACTGAAAAAGAAACAGGTATACACTATACTATACTATATATATATATATATATATATATATGTATATATATATACATATGGATCACACATATGCGTAACACTCCATTCTTAGCGTAAAGGCTACGTAAATAATTTTCATCGAGTTAAAATACTTCCCATTTAAATCTTTATAAAAATTTTCCAGAGAGATCCTTTAAAAATTCGATATAAAAGCATTTTAGTTTATAAATGTGAAAAAATACAATGAAGTGAAATAATTATTACCAAGAAGAAAAAGTTATTCTTCGTTGCGCTGCGTAGTCTTATATATAAAGGGCAGACGATGAAATACAAGGAATTACAGGCTAATATTTGAGGGCGCTATTCGCAATTATCGCGAATTTTTTAAATTACTATAAGCATGCGGTACAAACATACTGCACGCGATACTTGAAATAACATCAACAATGATATTGTATGAAAAATATATTCATGTAAGCGTATCACAATATCTCGTGTACATTATAACATTTATAACTTGTACACATATCATTTAATTATAACTCTTCTTTTCGTTTTTTCTAACTTTTACAATTCCTTTCTTACTTTCATTCTTATACCAAGGACTGAGTTCAAACAATTTTATTCTTTATCTTTCAAACTGCATAGCAGCAATATCATAACTGAACATATTGAATCAGCTATTTATGAACACAGGTCTTGGTAAATGTCACAATACTCATATCAAATATAAATTTATAGGTTTCTTCTTTTTTGCGTTAAAATTCATATAAAGAATCGATGATGAACTAATCTGTACATAATGACATAAGAATATCTCATTTTTGTTCAATCTTTTAGATATATATTTTAAAGCATTCGTTTCTTTCTATTTATATTTATACCAACTTATAGATTCCAATATGAGAAGAATAATTTTATGAAATAAAATCGTTTTCAATAAGTTTTATGATTATTTTTAGTCTTTCAAAGCCGTTCATTGTTTAAAATATAATTGGATATTTAGTACCATACTTTTAAATATTATCCTATATTAACGACAAGTTTGTCATATTGAATGACATTAAATATCTTGTTTCCTCGAAATACATAGAAATTTGTTCAAATTGTTTCGCTTGACAACTGCCATATCGCATGATTGCTTATTTTTTACAACAAAGTAAATACATTCACTTTTAGAAAATCTCGGTCTTTTATACATTCATAAAGATACATCTATATTCTATTTTTTCTTTTATATGTATATAGATAATTTTTTTCTTTTTTTTCTTTTTTCTTTTTTTTTCCCTTTTTTTGAAATATTCGAAATTTTATTTTTACAGAATTCGCATGACTCAAACTTTTCTCTGCTTTAATGCAAGTAAATTTTCTGTATTAAATGTTTCAATTACGATTATGCACAATGTTACAAGATCGGAATTTTTAAAGCATCATTAATTATCGAAAACATTGTAATTTTGTTTCTATCTATTATGTAAAAAAACATTAATCGATATATATATATATATATATCTTCTTATTACTTTAAAAAAATAATTTAGATAAATAAGATATTGTCATAGAACATGTCATAAGATACATTCACTTGTGCTTAAAATTTTATTACATTTCTGATGATGTCATCCTGTTAAGTGACTAGCCAAAGTAATGCTTCCCTACATGGTTACATTTGTCTTATTTCATTCTTTGAATGTAATTGAACTTAACACTATGTAATACGTTTAAAGCAGTTGGTTGCATGTTTCTCAAAAATATGTGAACATTGTATTTTTAACAAAAGACATTGCACTCTTTTCAATATAATAATGATAATAATAATAATAATAATAATAATAATAATAATAATAATAATAATAATAATAATAACAATGCTATAATATAATAAAAAAGATATTTATGGTCATAACCAGTTTAATAAGAATGACACCTACTCAATTTGATCACAGTATTTTCATATAAGGCTTCATTAAGAATTGATATAGAATTATCTATTTTCTATTTCTCCGATAATAAGCTATGAGGTAAGAATCAGTAAAAGTATGCAAGATGTTAATATCAGTGCTTTAAGTCGAATATTTCTATAAGTAATGGCTCTACGCTAGATGGATTTACATTTAAATAAACGTTAACAACCTCGTCATTCAATCTATGGAGTTCAGAAATCTTTTGAATTAATTTTAAAAAAGTGGACTTAGCTTCACAACCTGGATAAACGCTTTCCAAGTATCGTCTCAGAAGATAATAATACGAATTCTGTAAATGGAAAATAAACAAAAGGAAGAACGTTATGAAATTGTTTAATTAGCTCTCTCCTGAGATTTTTTAATATGCACTTACTTACCTGCTCCAACTTAATTACATCACTGTGTACAACTTTTGGTCTATCGGGTGTGAATAGAGCAATTGCACTTAGAATTAAAATGATATTTTCATCTCTCCATCGTGGATCGAACGTTCTAACAAATTTTGCATGTTCAGCATACAAATTACCTTTTGCTTCCTTCAAAACATCAACTTTTATATTTGACATTCTTTCTTGGCTATGAGGTATTTTCCACATATCTTTATCCGGATCGTAATTAAGCGCCGATCTTAGGATCATCATTTCTGTACATCCCCCTTTCAAAAGGGCCAATTGATCTTCCTGGCACATATTCTTAAAAGCATTCATCTTTTTGGACATTTTTATAAGACGTCGTATTGCTATAGCTGTTAAATTGATAACATCCAATAACATAGGATCGGATTGGCCAAAACTTCCCTACAAAATAAATTGTAACAATTGACGATTAACAGGCAGAGATTGGTATACATTAAGGAATCCTTATAATAATTTAATTTTAATATCCAATAAGGAATTACTTTAAATTTGCATTCTTCTCCAACTAAGTTTGTTATATCATCATCTAATGGAGCTAATAGCGCTTTATTAGCTACTATTAATTCATTTAATTTTGCTCTTTCAGCATCGTTTAGCTCTCTGGTGCTTTGATTCCCACCAAGAGCGGAATATGCTGAAAATTCCAATTTAATAGCTTCACACAATATCGATTCGATCGAATTGGCAGCAATTGGTATTCTAAAAAAATAATTTATACATTATTAATAAAGTGATTTATATAAGGCCTTTCAAAAATAATTAAATCAAATAAATATTTATCCACCTTTGAACATCTTGAAGTACATCTTTAGTAACGTCAGCCGTCATTTTATTCATACTTGGATCTGCTGCATCTTTATTTTTATAATTTACAGTATTTTTATACGTTATTAGATCCGTTAAGATTGGATTTTCCACATGACATTGTTTGCTCTTGCATTGGTGTTTACTTGTAGCAACAGAAACGTCCTCTTCCATCGTGTCTTCTTCTTGTTGAGAGCTTAACTGATCCACAGGATCTGCATCATTATTATCGATACTGTTTTCTTTAAAAAATTGCGATATTTGCGGATCCGCCGCTAATCTATTGACCAGTACCGGATCCGTCATGATCTTCAAAATTAAATTTCTATCTTGAAATATTTTTGCAACTAGATGAGGATTATTGACAAATTTCATAACCAGTCCTGGATTTTGCGTAAATTTATTAACTAAATCGTTCCCTTTAGGGCACATTTCTTTTGGCCTCTGACATGCTGTAGTCTCTTCGGTAAACGTTTGTACATTAGTATGAGAAATGGGACTTAAATTCAATTGCGTAGCTTCTACATTCGAGTCAATGAATGTAGAGGGACCACTTTCAGGGCTCTGCTCGTACTTGCAATAACTTGTCGTACTGTCTTCGTACTCGTGCGTATAACGTGGCGACTGATTGCTCGAATTACCAAAATTAGAATCAAATTCTAACAAATTCTGGTCAAACTTTCGTGAACTTATGGACATACTTTTGTCATTTCCCGCAGATCGAGATGCAAGATCAAATTCATTGTACCTTGTTCTTGTACTTTGTATAGGCGAATGAGATGTAATTCTTCTAGTAGAGTCCACATCCGCGTTAGGTTCATCGTATTGGGAGATTAACTCGTACTTAACAAAGGTACATTTATTACTATAAGAGTCCTTTAGCATATCTAAAGTTTTAGATCCTGTTATATTTCCACTTTCCGGTGGGCTAGATGGACTTGGAACGCTAGCTGCAGTAACCGGACTCATATTCTCCATAGGATTTTGCCTACCCGCATCTAAGTCTGCATACTTCTTGTCGGACTCCCAAAAGTACGTATCGGATACAGTAGATGCAACTGAATTCATTGACATGGCTGTATCCTCAAAGGTACAATCTTCCACGCAATCCTTCTTAATCTTAGAAGCTTTAACGTTATCCGATTGAGGCCGCTTCTTTGCACGATTCTGTTCTATCTTCTGACGCTTTAAAACCTTGTCCTCTTCAGACATGATGTATTCCTTACGCATACCAATACTGAAACACTTATCCAAGCGGCATTTTTGACAAAAACGTCTAGTCACTGGTGTGATGCTACAATTTTCTGTAAAAGGACACCGGAAATCCTATAAGAAAAGAGAAAAAAAAGAAAATGAAAGTGACATTGTAAAGCAATGCATAAGAAAAGAAAGTAATAATAATAATATCGGTGATACGTTAAACGATCATTCGCGAATCTAAAAGTTTGTCACCTTATTTTTAAGTGCGTTTCTCCTGAAGAAGGCCTTACAACTTTCACAAGAGACCGCATTGAAATTGTATCCCAAGGCGCGATCGCCGCAAACACCGCATATCTTGTTGGCTTCTCTCGCCGGTTGTTCATCTTCCATTTCTCGTGAATGCACGATTTACCAAGCGATTAGCACCTCTTATCTAACGCACCATTATCCCTCCTTGAAATAGCATTTTTTTCACTGACTGATTCATGTCAAACATGATATATTTTATAATTGTTATTGTCGCGTAACCACGTCGACGACAGTCCTACTCGTCTACTACTTTCTTCAGGAACCCGCCAGCATCTTTGCTCCAACGCCCCGGATCTACGAGATGCTGCTTGAAAAGGTTTAAGTGATAAACCAAATAAAGTGCTCAATTGGTAGTCACTTGGGAGTTGTTAACGGGGCGGTGCGCATAAACCTGTCATACACGTATCGCCCAGTTCTCCGCCACTTCGCTCACTTCTCTTTCCCCCACCCCCGCTCATTTTTATCTAGTTTCTCTTTTTTTTTTTTTTTTCTTTTTTTCTTTTTTTCTTTTTTCAATCGAACGCGTCGTCGAACATGCTTTCGATATTACGCAGCCGTGGTCTACGATATCGGTTAAGGCGCATAGGTCATAAGAAAATGTAAAAGAGCCGAGAGAGGATACTACAATAAATATTTCGTAACAATTTATTTATTACTATATCGCGTTAGAGTTAATAAAGATTTCTTTATTATCAAAGTTGTGCCTTGCGAGAGTTCTTTGTTCAAACGGAAACATATCTTTTACGACGTATCTATCCCTAGTTTCTCCTACTTTTTTCAACTTTGCATACTTATTTATCTTTATGATGTATAGATATTATAGAGGTTATATTCTTTCGAGCGTGACCATTAAAGAGAAAAGAAAAAGAACTTTTAAAGCGTATCTTATAGGTTTAATTAAAAGTGGAATCGAATTGATTTATTAAAATATGATCAAAGAGTATGCTTTTATAAAAGAAATGAATGGTGACAGCGATTAAAATAGTGACAATGATATAAAATAAGAACGTGAAAACGTAGCCATATTGCTATTACAATCGACTCTATTCGCGATTAAGATTCTCGTTTCAGATTCGATATAATCGCAAACTATTATTTATTTATTCGATCGTACCGATATAATCGACCAGAGATACATGGCTTTTTGTATTTTCAAAAGATTAATAATCACATGATATTGAAGACAATTCTCCATAGAACGATAATTTCAATAGGATATTCTTATAGAGATACGTGAACATGTTTTCGAAAGGATCTTTTAAAAATCATTATAATAATATACAAGACGTAAGTAATACACTTACGGCAATACGTCGATGTGTTGCAACGATCTTATCGATAAATGAAATGATGCAAAAAGTCGATGGTGACGTTGAGCAGGGTTTTGTTTGATACAAAAATCAGACTACGTAATATTTTTGATTATAAGTACGGCACAGGTGGTTATCACATAGGAGATATCAAAATTTGTACAATCGCTTCTTTTCGTTGACTCTTAAAGGATATACTCATAAATGTATCTTTTACCTTATTTTTACGATCTATCTACACGTTACACGAATCGATTCAGTTATCAATGTATTACTCTAATACTGATATCATTATCATTCAATTCTGGGAATCTATCTAGATAAATACGAAACGAATTATTCGACGACCATTAATTTACAAAAATTAATATTACTTATATACGCCTGTATATAATAATTTCTCAACCATTATCGCGTTCGTCGATATACATAGATTAAAGTAAAAAAAAGAAAGTAGATCTAAAGAAAACTTCATTATTTCATTTTTTTAGATATCTATATATATATATATATATATATATATATATATATATGTATATATATATATTTATACTAGAGAATTATATTTTATACGATTGTACAAATATGCAATATCCAGATCTAAATATTCGTTACGTTTTGACTTAACCTATACGTATAGATTTGTATCTTGTAAATCTCTGAAAATATTAAATACTATCACGATTCTATCGCATTTCTTAATAAGAATATCAATTTATAAAATACAATTGTAAATCGCATGTAAACATACATATCTTATTTGGTTTAATCGATATGTCGTATCATCAAAGGCACACATGATAATACTAAGAGGTAACACTTAACGATATGTAAAAAGATTCATAAAAAATATACATATGTGTGTGTGTGTGTGTGTGTGTGTGTGTATGCACATACACATACACATACACACGTACACACACACACTAAATGCAACGTGCAATCAGTTTTACATATATAATACGTACAAACTAGGGTCTACATAATACACGTGTATCTCTTTCTATGTAATAGAGGCACTTTAGAATCATATGTATCTTAAAAAGATAAAATTTGTTAAGTATCCTTAGGTTAACGATGGCACGGCATGCGTTCCATTATTCGGCAGTGTACTTATTACAATTACATGTGATTCAGATAAATACACAATTTGTATAAATTTCTCGAGGAGAACAATTTCACACCTTATGACAAAATTTGGTTATTATTCATTTCAATGGTGTACCGGTTAATTTCGTACTTCCCGTTTGTACACCGCCCGTATAGAGGACCAATTCTTCTTTCATATAACACGTTACAATTTCTTCGACGCTAGAGAACGATGTTTCGTTTACTTTCACGGATCCCAAAGCATATCTAAGTATTATTAGAAAATATCGTGATTCGTCGATGTAAATCAAATATTTCTATTATCGAAAAGAAAAATATTTCAAAATATCGTACCTATTGTCAGATCTCTTTCTAACCGGAATATTATAAACTCTATCTCTGCACCAAAGCACCAAAGCTAACGGACTGTTTACGTTTGTTGTGGAAGGTCTCAAAAGAAAATATCCATCATCTTGTGAATTACCGTAAGTACCTTCTGTAAAGGCATTAATAGGATTAATATTAATGAACGATTTAAAGAAGTAAATAATTAACAAAATTTTTTCCTTATTGATATTAATCAATTATATTACGATACGTACGTTCTGTAATGAGTATTATGGCTTGTTCTCGCGTAACATTGTGAAACCAAGGCTTCTCAACGTAAGACAATCGATCTGGCGGTGGTGGTAATGGTCTCGTAGCTCTCTCGCTTAATAACGAAGTACTACTACCAGAATGTGGTAGCGTCGCCGATTTTTTTTCCGGTGAACGCTCTGAAACAATTCAAATTATGATCGAACGAAATGAAATCGCGCAACGATCATTTCCCATGGAATAGGAAGTCCGTCAAAAAGAAAAGAAAAAACCACACACACACACACACACACATATAAATTTTTCTTTTTGTTTATTACTAACTTGCTAAATTAAGACGTGCTTGCGTCAGAGCTGCCTGAGTCAGACACTCGGAAAGACTTGCCTGTCGACGTGCCGCAGTGTTCAAAGACACGTTTCTCTTGCTATCTGTTATTATAGTCGCCATGGTTTATCAATTGAATACGTTTTAAAATAAAATATCCAACGATAGATAGAATATTTCAATGATAGATTCATGCGTTTAACAAAAGTACGTGTACGTATTACATCGTCGTTCGTTCGATCTCCATCTATATTTATTTATCGGAGCTTTCAGAAAATAACGAACGATCGACGTACACGAACGAGAAACGTTTTAGGAGGAAAAAGGAAAAAATGTAAAGAAGAAGTAGCGCGCAATTTCGATTTACGTAAAGATCCCAGATTTCAAGATTTTTCCTCCTAAAGAAGGCTATTTCGAGTGTCACTCATATCTGGTACGCGCTAATACCAGATTCGATCTATTCAATTACTTTTAGATCGAAAATTGATATGCTTGGAATATCATGAGTCACGACGATCCCTTCTGATCGTAGTTCGTAGTGACGATCGTACCAAGTTAATAATAATTTACTATTTCATGAAATTATTTTTCATTGGATTAATAAATAAATATAACGCGAAACGTGTAAATTTGTAGCTTTCCCGTTTACACTCGCTGTTATCTTCCAACACAGGGAACTTTTTAAAGAAGCAACGATTGCAAGTGTATTGCACGAAAAACTGCAGGAGACTGAGAGTGTAACGTTGCGACGGAATGCCTTTAAACGGTGGAAAAGAATCGACACTCCGTTGGTCCCTCTCGGCATGGGGTATAAAGTTTTACGAGCCATTTAGAAATAGCCATCGAAATAGATTCTTTCACACAGTCCTTATTAGTTCGTAAGAACCAATGCTCGCTTAGAGAATTTATTCTGTCATGCTTACCAAATAACGTGCTTTGCGATAATTTCATATACCTGGCGGATCTGGTGGTTGAGAATAGCAACATCTAGACAGACCTCTCTTGATCCTTACTATCATATCGGAGACCTCATCGGCCAGGCGTTCACCTAAACCTCCTAAGAGATGTTTGCTCAGCCTGAGATAAAAGCAGGAACACATTCCATCACACTATTTCGATTCTTCTTATTATCGAGGGTTAATTATTTTTATGTACACTTAATAGCCGATTATTTCGTAACTAACGATGATATATCGTTGAAAATTCGGTCAAAAGTATATCACATTTTCACGTTCGTTGTTGTACGTTCGATCTTGCGATCATCCAATTTCTTAATACAAACGTATTGCAGCAAATCGTAACACATTGTTCCCAATATTTTTGATATCGGACTCGGTTCAATCGACATCTTTGTGAAAAATCAAAAGGCAGAATCAAAAGGGATCGATCGTAGGTGCATTAAATAAACAGGACGATAGTCGGTGGTCGACTGACAGAAATCGCAAAGCGCATCAAGTTGCATGACAGAGAGTCGTAGTAGAGTCGGTTATTACCACCATTTGTCGCACACATGTTCGTGGGAAGCTAGTACATTATACTTTTTCTTCTTTCCTTTCGACTGTAGTCTGCGTTTTTTCCCTTGTCACGTAATATGATGATTCTTTTTCATTAAATCCTTAATCTTTTCTTTCTTCATTCTCGGATATCATGAGGCATTGTTAAAGTAAAGTAAAAAACGTTTCTTGCTTGAAGAAACTCACCCTCCTCTCGCTACTACTCCTCTTGGCTAACTCGTAACAAATATAAGAGATACTAACCATTTGCATTGTTTGATTTTGTTCGATGAAACGTTAAAGGCAGTGTGGTGGGCAGTTTAACGGGTAACGGCGGCGGTAGAGGATCTCCACTGCTCGATGATTTTTTAATGGGACTTAAATAATTATCGTCATCTTCAGGCTAAAAAAAAGAAAAAAAAAATGTTGACGTAAACGAGAGTCTGGTTATAAAAATGCAAATGGAGAAAGTCGAAGCGTAAAAATTTACCGTTTCCGTAATGGATTCATAAATCTCATATGGCTCTTCCTCATCCTCGCAACTGGTCGTACTAGATGGTTGATAAACGCTCTCTACGGAACTTTGGGAACCGCTGTTCAATGACTGTTTGCTGTCGATTTTCGAGATAATCGACTTTTGATTTTGTTCTATGATTTGCTTGTCGAACTTTTCGTATTCGTCCTCGCTTTTATCCTCTCGAGTTGGTAAATTCGCAATGAGATCCAAATTTCTAATCGAAATGGACGGCTTCGACGCGTCTTTGTCGTTCTTCCCTATCCATTGAGAGCTTTGATCGGCGTTTTTCTTAGGTGCCGGTGGAGGTGGAACAGCCATTCTTTCTAAAAAGAAAAGAAAAGAAAAGAAAAGAAAAGAAAAGAAAAGAAAAGAAAAGAAAAAAGAAGGCCGAACGTGAAGATACAGGACGATTTGATTCATAGTTTCTAACGAACGTTATCATTGTAGGGGGCCATTAAAAGAAGCGTACGCGTTTATATTCGGCGAAGTGAATGGAACGTATTCACGACTCCCCCCCTTTAATGGCTAAATAGATCCGATAAGAAAAGGGCAATTCAAACTAACTTTGTACATCGTTCGGAGGCCTCGTCTTCGTCTTAGATTCATCGTGTAAAAATGATTTTTGCGGTTGTTTGCAAACCGTAGAAACCTGTGGTATCCTCTTGGATATTAATATTTCCGGTTTAGATTTGAGCACCGGTTTCTTCGAATTTCTCAATTGCAATTGTTCCTTCAATTGTTCGGCCAAAGTTTTCTCTATCGTTCCATGCAACCTCGACAAATTTTTTTGCGGTAGATTCGTCAAATTATCTTGATAATTAACGTAAACTTTTCCCGCGTCTAAGGTCGATTCGAAATTCACATAAGTGGTCTCCTCGTCTTGTCTTTTCGTATTATCGTCTATTTGCGCGTTCGCGTTTACGTTTTTCATCTTCTTCGAAATAGTACGATCGTTTTCGTAATTCGAATTTATTTGATTAACATTGATGTTTCTCGTATCGGTAAAAGCAGTATTGTCTTCCGGTATTTCATCTTCGAAATCTGTATCCCAGGAACTGGTATCGCTCATGTGATCCTCGTTCTGTTCCATTTCAACATTTTTCTCTTGTACAAATTTCTCCGGGAATTTCTTGATTTTTTCAACGAACGTAAGAAGCTCCCTGCAAGTACGATACTTCATGTATAACCATAAGAAAACAATTAGAATTGGCTTTTCTAACTTTGCAACAAGTCATTTTATCGCAGGCGAGAGCGGATATTCACTCATAAACACTCTTGACTCATCGAATTGACGATGCGACATTAAAGGATAAAAGTACAACCCACACGCGATGCAATTACCACTTATGTAAATCTTGTATGCCTCGGACGATTATCGAGTTAAACGGATCAATTGCGATCCAATTCCATTGAATACGCAATTTTCAAATGTTCCTGTCTTTCCATCACGAATCGATTCGTAATATTGTAAAATCGATCGATTAACGAAGCAACAATGCGCATTAAATTATTACACGTTCATAGATGACACAAAGTACCCTTATTGTTAGCTAGTATCTCACGTTGATGTTATTTAAAGCAGGATTCCGCGATAATGTTATTGTTATTATACACACAGATGAAATATATGCGTGTATATATTATATGTATGCCTACATGCATACGTGTGTGCGTGTGCGTTTGATAAACGTAGATATGAATATTCAGCATCATTGATTGTACTGTAGTTGTAAGGACATAAAAGACAATGGCAATGAAATCAAATTGATAAACACAGGATATCATATATATATATATATATATCGTTATCGATAGCTATAGTCTGTCAAGTTGGCTCCGCAAATCTAGAACTAAAGAGAAAAATGTGAAGACACGTAAACCTGTATGTGTTATTTAAAATACCGTATTGAAGGATACCGTTAATCCACGATGTTACAATGTCGAGTTAATGGCGTTGGAGTTCATTGGAAAGAAATACGCGTATTTACATCTCTTGTAAAATTCAAATCGTGTAGCTTCGTTTTCTTACCGTATCAAATAACTGGTGAGGTCACTCTTCCATAGAGTCAACTTCCCCTCCGTCAAGTGCTGGAATAATTAGAATCAATTAAGATCGACTAAAGAGGGCGCGTGCCAGTTGAGTAGCCAAAATGCAATTATGGCCGGAAAGAGGTATAACTTAAGTTGAAAGGAAAAACGAGAAAGTAAGAAAAAAGAGAAAAGAAATCATTGAAAATAAATATCGTTCATTTATTCATCGTCGACTAAATCTTATCGACTTTCGAATACGAGAGAAGATAGAGAATTTTTAAAGATCCAAATGCGACTTATCAGAGCACTACCGACATTTCGTTTTAATCGTTCGTGTGTGTTCAAAGTTGAACGAGAGAAAATCTAGAAAAGAAAAAAGAAAAAAGTGCATACCCAAGAGTCGGCAAAAACATCGAACGATTACAAAACCGTACACCGACTCGTATACTTACTAACAACTCGTCACCGTCGATTTGTCGTTTCGAAACTGCCGTACAGCATTCTTCCAGGCCATTCTATCAAAGTGTAAAAATATATCAAATAAACCTTGATATCGTATCATTTTCGAATGATGACTTTAGCAAATATTCTAATTAAAATGGACTATGGAATATGTTAATATATCTTTGAACCGTACTTCGTGAGCACACGTGAATATTAATTTTAACTTTGAAATAACACATTCAAATTTAATTCTATGATATTTTCAAATACCCTCTAACTTTTCATTCCAACGATCGGATTTTTGTACTCGTTTGTACTCGATTGTACTCGATATTTCGTCGAATATATAACGAAAAAAGAAAAAAAAAAAAACATCCATGACATTGTAAACGTAAAAAAGAAGAAAAAAGGGAAAGAAATGAGTCAAATAAAAATGTTGACTTGTCCGTTAGAAAAAAAAAAAAACGAATTCCTACGTAAATTATCAATTCAATTCTACTTTCCTATTACTCGCTTTCTCCTTTTTAGTTGGCTCTGATCGCCTATCTAAAAAAATGTTAAGTACATATTTCTCTCTCTATCTACCTATCCTACTGGCTTGGTCTCATCTTTTTTCCTAAAAAAAAAAAAAAAAAAAAAAAAAAAAAAGAAAAAAACGTCGAGAGTCGGAGAATTGATTCGTTCTGGTGAAACAGGTATGCCCGAGAGGTGCACTGACCTGCATGTAAGAGTTTCTCGCGAGCAAATATCGTAGAATGGACGAGGAGAGCGTCTCGTCGGAGTTTACTCACCTTCCGTAGCAAAGACAAGACATCGTTTGTACTCCATGTAGATATGTTTTCGAGGGCGTCGCTTCGAGACAATTTCTTGGACATCTCACCGCGTTTGAACGCGCCTGTTGCAAAAACAGCGTCGCACGTGTTCACCGCTCAGGCGCATCTGCATCGGCTTTTTATGGGCGAGGTGTCTGACAGTCCTCGTTCCTTTTAATTTTTCCTCCTCCCGCCGCCTCGTAGCTTCCCTCTTTCTTCCTTCTTTCTCCCTCTCATTTGGCCGCACACGAGAGATATCCTTCTACGTCTTGCTTTCTCTCTTACAATAGCGTTAGACCGATCACCCACCGGTCTTACGATTGGTCACTTTGTACAGACACACCTAATACTCTGTTAAAGGTACGTTCACAAAGCTATTCTATCTTGTTTCTTTTTTTCTTTTTACGCAAAACGCCAAAAGGTAAAGGAAACCTTGGCTGGATATCTTAAATCTCATAACCGTCTTAAATATTTTCGTTTCGGCTTAAAATCCATATGAATGCAATTGATTATTAATCAAATTATAAGAAAAGATAAATCGTTAATACGTCGAAAAATATGAAAATCTATAATCGAATCGTCGTATAATGTTAAATTGATCGTAATTTACCGCGAACGTACGTTCTGCTAAATTCTTATCGATGATTGGATCCCAATGAACCAATCGCAAAGCTTGATAATTCTAAACCTCCATGAGAGCGATAACTCCGGTCGCGTAGTCGTGATGCTCGTGACCGTTCGTCGTGTGTTCGCAAGAACGAGACATTTACCGGTGAACATTTCTCTAGAATAATACGTTCTTTTCTTCATTGTTCTATACTACCATATTAATGGGTGACAGGATGACTGTCACCGTTTTAAATACCACACCAGAATACGTTGAATTCATCAAGTAAGCAAACGTTCCTTTCATTATCTTTTTCGAAAATATTCCTTTCTTTTTTCCAACCTTATTATTATCACTTTATTTGCAAAGTCTTATTTTATTGCTATACGAACAACATATTCTTCTTGTTGTTCGAACGATTATCGATTTTTCCTCAAGCTCAAAAAATTAACAGAATTTCTTTCCTCTCTATTGATCTTCTTTTTGATATTTATCGTATTTCAAACACTTTTTTTATTGCATTTTTTCCATTTCATGCTCTGCTGTATAAGAGCAAAGAGCAATAAATTTCTTTTAATACATACGAATATTATTTTTATATCCAAGGTCCAAAGATCTATCTGTTATTCACTTTTTTGCACCATGGGCAGAACAGTGCAAACAAATAAACGATGTTCTAGAAGAAATGATAACATTGACAGAGTACAAAAAGGTCAAGTTTGCTATGATAGAGGCAGAGAATTTACCTGAAGTTTCTTTGAAAGCTGGCATCGCCGCCGTACCAACAGTTTTATTATACAGAGATGAGGAAATAATAGATAGAATCGACGGAGTTAATCCTGCTTTATTAATTGAAAAAGTTAAAAAACATTTAACCAGCCAAGATTCGGCTCAGGCCAATATAATATCGCCAAAGGACACTCTAGAGGCCAGATTAAAGAAGCTTATAAATTATGCGCCTTGTATGCTCTTCATGAAGGGAAATCGTGAACATCCACGCTGTGGTTTTTCAAGAACTATGATCGCTCTTCTTGATTCTCATAGAACGGAGTATCAAACATTTGATATACTTCAAGATAACGCGGTCAGAGAAGGTTTGAAGAAGTTTAGCAATTGGCCGACTTATCCGCAGTTGTATATTAATGGCGAACTTATTGGTGGATTAGATATTGTAAAAGAAATGAGTGACTCAGGTGACCTAGACAGTATGTTACCTAAAAAAAGTGTCTCTCAAGATAGGTAAATGAATCAATGAGGATAACTAACATGTATAAATTTATCTAATTTATAATAAGAATGACATTGTATCTTTTGTTACAGAAGTTAAAATAGGACTACAGCTAATTAATTACATCTATATTTCCTTAAATTATCTAATACCACATTTTTATCTACAACTGGAAGCAATTTTTACTTAAATAGTTCAAAGTGTTTCAATTCAAAAATTTCAAAACGTACGATTTATTCGTTGATAACTAATGTATATTGTCTAGCAAATTAAACATCTCATTTTTCACCTTGTCATGTAAAATCCAAGCATTTCGAACAGATACGAAATGTACTTTATAACTTAACTTTCTTCTTTTTTTTTTTATTATAACATTGAATATAAAAATACTAAAAATTAATATTAAATATTCATTTATTTAAAAATTCAACTATAAATTACAAATTGCACTCTGTGTAATTGTACATAAATTAAATAAAATGTCATTTTCTGGCTAAGACGCATTGCTCGCTCGGTCGCAAAAGGCCAAAAGTGGAGGTAGTAAAATCGCTGGAGCTTCGATTTACTTATCTATCAGTCTTTTTAAATAACGATATGGTACGCTCGTTATTAATTCATTTTCTTTCTATTCAATTATGAAACGTAATAAATGATCTATTTATTTATTACTTCTTTTGCTTTTCATTCCAATTTGTGCTCCTTTCTTAGCTCCAGCAACGATACCTCGAAGCTTTGTTGCCATTTTTTTCTTCTTTCTGAAAATTAATACATTTATTTGTACCAGAGGATATTATTTTATAAGTGGTTTTTTTGGTTTCTCTTTCTTTTTTTATGTCATCATTTACCGCTTATTTAGAGCAGCTCTTGTCAGTGGAACGTAAGCATAAGGGTCAGGTTTGCCCTTCTTCTTGATGTCACCTCCTGCTTTATGTGCGCGATATTCCGAACCGGGTGTATGTTCAATTTTTTGCATTTTTAGTGGTCTATGAATACCTGAACCTCCAGCTATAACAAAAGCAATAGTTTCATTAGAAATTGTATTCTTTAGTAAAATTATTTCCCGATATTCTTAGTAGTACTTGCCTCGATATTTCGATACAGCAAAACTCTTTAAACTTGTTGTATCGGAACATGCACCATGTTTTCGTTTTCTGTTGCTAGATATTATTGAATTTTTGTCCTGTTCGTCATCTTCTGTAAAAAAAAAAAAAATAAAAAAAAATACAAGAAACATTATTTCCAGATATCACATATTTACTTTATTAACAACAAATTATATATCATAAAATTACCATAATCGTCATCATTCGAATCATCTTCGGATAATAATCGTTTTCTTTTTGTATTTTCCGTATCGCTATCATCTTTTTGATTATCATCCTTAATAATAATTCGTCCATCTGGAGCAGTTTTAAATCCGTAATCTTTTGGTTCTTTCAATTTTTTAATGGGTTCTTTCACGTTGGATGCATTCCCAGGTTGAGTTGCTGCAAAACAGACGAAATTGCTTCTTAGTAATGCCGTTAAAAAAAAAAAAAAAAAAAAAAAAAAAAAAAAAATGCGAAACTAACTAGTTATATTTCTGGCAGTTGTTGGATCAATCAAATCAACAATATTTTCTTCGTTCTCTTTGATCCAAGCTTCTTTTCTTGATGTTCGCTTTTTGTTGTTCTTTTTTGGTTCGTCCTCATCCATATCATCAAATTCTTCGCTGTCTGCCAAGAGATCTTCCATGCTAAAAAAAAAAAAAAAAAAAAAAAAAAGAAAAGGATAACGACCTGTGACGTACATTTTTTTATGCAATTGTATTTTGTGATTATGAATATATAAGTCTACCTTTTTGGTCTTCTTTTTGCACTGAAATCAGTGTCTGTGTCCTTTTCACTTTGTTTCATTTTTTTCAATTCCCTACTTTTCTTTTTAATTTCTTCTACTTTATGAATATTTTTTAACCTTTTATGAAGTATTGTGTCTGATGCTGGCACCATTCCGGAAATTGTTCTTATACTATATTTCCGTATCAATTTGGTGAAGATATCTCGAACTTTTTGCCTAAAATGCCTTTTACAATCATCGTTCATATCGGACAAAGCACTCACCTAAAAAAAAAAAAAAGAAAAAAAAGAAGAAAGAAAATCGAGTTGTTTAGAAATATTATAATATCGGTAAAGAGCCGATTAAATATACACAATTTCACTTACTATTTTCGTTAATGTTTTTGCTATTATCAGAGACGGCATTACGGTTATATATACTTTAATATATGACAATGCTGATTCTACTATTTCTCTTGTGGAGCTAACTACAAGTAAACACGCATGTCCTAATATTTCCTCCAAAGTTTCTATACCCAAGGAACCTATATAATAAAACGTGATTTATATATTATAATAACAACGTAATACAAAAGGAGATAGACAATCATGAAAAATAATGTTCAAATTTGTAATTACCATTATAATGATATGTGAGGGAAGCAAGAGCTAGTAGAGTGTAACTACTGTATTTTTGTTCACCGCCTAAGCCTGCAATTACCATGTCTATATATTCTTTAAGATATTCAGGCTTTTCTAAAAATTTATCAGCAATGACGTTTAACAATTGATATGCCGAAATTCGACATTTCTGATTTATATCCTTTAGGGATAATATCGCTTCCGGAATGATGGCTTGTAAAAATTTCGTTCTTTCTAACTGTGGGTGACTTTTTACAAGATGTGTCAAACATCTTATACGGGCCTTAAGGGGAAAAAATTAGATAAAAAATATATTACAATGATTCAATAGGATGAAAAAAAAAAAAAAAAAAAAAAAAAAATGTAATAATATACATACTCCTTTACTCGTTTGAATTAATTTAGTTGCAGAAGCAATCATCATTTTTTGGATTTCTCGTCTATGTTCTTGTACAAAATTTTTACACACTTCTTTATCACTACCGCACAATCCTTCTATAAATCTAAAAATATTCTCTAATTTAATTTCACATTTGACATATATCCGAACATGCGAAGAATGTGTTAAATTACCTGTATGCTTTCTTCTGTTCCTTTCGTTTTGTTTTATCTTCTATGTACGGTAGACACATATCGTAAAATTTCTTTAATCTATCGATGTCAGTATATTCGATTAACAATCTTATTAAGTCATATACGCTTTCTTTGAAAAAATCATCTGCTTCGACATCGTTCAATTTACTTAATGATTTATCAAATAGCTCATTTACCAATATTTTGTCTGTTATTGTCAGATATATCTGAAAATAGTTCAAATATATAAATATTAAATTAAATTAGTGTAAAATATTGCACCTTTTACTTTCTAGTTTGAAATGTTTAAAATGTTACCTTAATCGTATCAAATGTAGCTAAACGATGTCCCTCTTCATCCGTTCCAGTTGGTTTAGTTGTGTATAAAGCAAACAAAAGTGGTAGATAATTTTTGGCAAAACGAGCAAGTTCCAATATATCTTCACTGTTATTAACTTCTGTTGCCTTTGTGATCAGTTTTCTTAAAGCTGCCATTACTGATAATCTTAAATCTTTAACTCCATTGATAATTGTTCCCAGCAATTTAGCGATATTCTAGGAATATATAAATGATAAATATAGCAAATTTTTCACAAATAGATATCTCACGAATTATCTTATACGCGTACCTTGAAATTGTCTTTCACGTCATCAGCATCATTACATAAACTTGGCAATATTGCCCATACTTGCGTTAGAAGGAATTCATAAGTTTTTCCTCCTATTGGTTCTTTAGATTTTATGCTAAAACAAATATACGTAAAAATAATATTTAAAAATGTTTATTTAAAGTATCATAGAATATACTTACTTGCATATTACTGCTAATGGTAGCAACATATCTGTGAAGAAAGAAAGTGATCCATGAGTTATGCAATCTTTCAACAATGGAAGTAGCCAACTTCTCTCTAAGTTTATAGCATCTTTTCCAATCTATAAAAAATAAATTTATTATAATTATAAATTTTATTTACAAGGTTCATTTTATAAATTCAATTTTATCAAATCTATTGTAACATACTTGTAAAGGTAAGGTCTGTAAAACAACACGAGGACCCAGTGCTTTTATAGCAGCTCCAATCGCGTATTCAACACCTGCATTACATGCAAAGTTGTATGATTCCCGTAATTCTGCTAATGTCTTCAAAATTTCTAAAAGCTGTGGACTTTTTATTTTTTTAGTTATCTGCAAAGTAAATATTTTATATAATAACGATACATTACAGTCTTTACGGTGCATTTTTTACATCATTTTTATAAGAACAAGATAATTACTTGAAAGAGCAATGCGATTAAATGAAGAATATTATCAAATGGTATATTCCTGTCAAGATACTGGTACTTTGTTGTTTTATACATCATATCTATTATTTGATCCATTATTACTTTGTATCTACAAACCAAATATATTTATTTATATCAAATTCCTATACGTTCAATAAATAAAAACACTTACCTTTTAACTTTTTCTTCATTTTCACATAGCGGGCCAATGCAATCTTGTAAAAGTATTTTTATGGTATGAGATGTACCCGATATGACTTCTTGTTTATCGGAGAGCCACAATTCAATACATTTTTCTAACATTCGAGGTACAATGGCAGCACACATATCCATAGAATTTCTACAATTATTAATATATACATTTTTAAAAATTTCACGTTGCATTACCAGAATCGATGATGTATATTCCTTGTAGTTTGTTTCTACTTACTGAATGAGATTGCAATGAGCCTCTTGCATAACGGTCAACCAAGCTAGAGTTGGTTGTGCATCATTCGCAGGAGGTTGATAATCATAAAGGGCAGTTATAATTTGAGCATTTCTTTGCGATGGTAATATTACTTCCGACGGCCTAGACACGAACAATCCATGCAAAGTTTGCAAACAGCACGATGTTATCAAAACATTTTTTAATCCCATAATACTTAAAAGTCCCTCGCAAATAGTCTGCATCAAATGAAATTGAATGTTATCATAATGCATATGCGTAAAAAAAAAAAAAAAAAAAATAGACTGTTTTATAAAATATACCTTTACATATGACTTTGGTAAATGGTGGATAATGTCCTTAAGTAACGTGAGAGTATGAAGGATGTTGGTTATTCCACCAGGTTCGCAAGCTGCGTTCAATTGATTTACACAATGTTTAGCAACTTGTGGTGCAGCCGGATGGTAAGCAGGACAATTTTCACTTCTCATTAAATCACTTCCTATAACGCATCAAAGACACAATGTATTTTTTTTTGAAAATAAATAATTTATTGTCTTGTTCAATAATTAAGAAATACCTTTAAGTATGGCACATATTCCATGCTGAGCTACCTTCCTTATTTTAGGTTTAATATGAATAGAAAATGACAAAATGGCGTCTAAAATTTGCATTGTCGAAGAATTTGACCAAACCGCGGCTTCTTGAAACCGTAACAACAGTGAAAGACAGCTGAGGCACTAGAAGGATAATAAAATTTACAATAGTTGATAACGCAAGGCCGAAATAGTTTATATTAATATCTAATTACAATAAACTTACGTGTCTTATAATTAGAAAATTTTCTGTTTCTATATACTTTGTTAATATTTGGAGAAAGATTTGACTTGTTGGACCAAATTGTGCATTGAGAACATTTTTAGGTACAGTTCTTAATCCCATACCTAAAAGTGAAAGTGTGGCAGCAACGGACGTATCCGTATCAACTGCCTCTAGAGTACTCATCTAAAAAGAGAAAAAAGAAACAAAAAATTATTATTATAATAATAATTAAAATAAAAAATGTATTATATTTACCAATGCTGCGAAATACTCGGTCGAGGTTTCAGCCCCCCCATTTTGTTTAATAACTTCGGTTACTGCTGATAATACTGCTAACATCTCCTTATGGATTAACGACTTAGATTGAAAGTGACTTAAAAATCTATAAAATATTATTATTGTGAATATGCATTCTTAAGCACAAAAAATTATTAAAGATATTATAGTTATTATAATTACCGATTGAAAGAAATATTTGTACAATTACTATAAGTGCTTGCAAATGTACCCGCAGAATCGACTGTGCCATCTGTACTATTTTCTACCTGATCTTCATCGATATCTATATTTTCTATTTGAGGTAGAATACTTTGCATAGCATCATGTTTTTGCAAATCTTCTGTTGTTATACCCGGCGTTCCTAAGGAAAATACCGTAAAATAGTATAATACTTAATATAAAATTCTGAATCACAATTATCGTAGTACTTGAGGAAAAACAACTACATATGCATATATTGTTTATATAAGCCTATAATAAAAATCTATTAATTGTGAAAGCTTATAGACGTTATAGAAGAATAAATTAGATAAAATTATATAAAATAACAACGTACCACCAAAATCTTTAAAAAACATCCATGTAGCTCTTTCTCGGTGCTTTGTTGTTTCCGGATTTGAATTAGAGCTTTGACCTTTTGGCCAACGCTTTGCTTTGCTTTTACTATTTAATCGCGCTATCTTACCCATTATATTTAAAAATAGATCCTTTTTACTACTTCCAATAAATATTATTAACAATAAATACTATTAACAAGAAATAATATTAACAAGAAATAGTATTAACAACAAAAATCTATCAGGTTTCTTTTTACAAGTTACCTCCGCAGTTTACATCCATATATACCCAACGTTTAATATAAAATGGCCGAAAATACAGTCGAGAGAACTTATTAGATATAGGTGGCACTAGTTTAGTTAACCTTAGAAACCATGGATCATAGAGTCACCATCTTTCGCTCGTAGCGACCTCAACGATAAATAAAGACAAAATATGAACTATAAGTGCAATAGAGATATACCATGAGCGTATTGCATCGGTGCATAAGTTTATGGATAAACTCTCGCGCGTAATTTGACGACCGAGATAGTATGTGACAAAAATTTTTGTATGTAGTAAAAATAGTAGTAATTTTGACAAGATAAACTATATACCTAATTATACTTTTTTGAAGATGGATAAATTGAAAAGAGTTTATTAATTCTACAAACAATATATTTTGTACAATTAACTTTTATTTTTACTTTATATTGCTTAAGAAGAAAAATAAAGATTTAGAATATTTCAATGCGTCTTCCTAAGAAATTATTTTAGAATTCTATCTATCTGTTCAAGTACGATTAGCAACGTAAAATGTAAGTAATTCAGTATTTAGTTTGCTTTAAATTGAAAAGATTTTTGAACAGCCTTAAAATATCCAACCATTCGCTCAGTAGTACTTGCATCCCATAATAGTACCGAGAAAGAAGAAATATTTTCCTAATATTCGCTTCGCTCGTATGACATACTAATTTCTCAACGAATATATCTACTAAAAGAGATTAATTGCACATCGATTAGAAAGATACGCAATATCTTCGGAAGATAACTTGGACAGGAGAACTTGAAACATTGACGGTTTCAAATTGCTTTATTTTTGTATTAAATTAATACAGCATATTAAGAAACAATGATTTCACAATTAAAATGAATTTTCTGTACAGCTTCATCTTACCTACAAATGGAAAACGATAAAAAAAAAAAAAAAAATATATATATATATAGAGCGTTTTAAACACGTCTAAAAGATCGGTCTTTAGAAAATATAATACATTCGTAATATTTACATATTATGTACAATTTCGAAATTCCTTTGCGTACATTTCACTAATACTTTCCTCATGGCAGATTATTTACATCAGGTTTAAAATTCCGAAGAACATTTTGTGTCAGAGGTTGGGCAGTTGGGATCGATCTGGTAGGTTTACTAGGAGCTGCGAGTAATTTACTCCAAGCTCTACAAGTTTTGCCAGACCAGACCCACATACCCGAGGTCACGCCAATGACCAAAGACAAAAACGGCCTGAGAAGGGCCACTTCGAGTCCTGCCGCTCTATAAACGGGGCCCGGTACACAATTCTCCGCTGATCGACAATCAAGAGCAGCGAGAAGTGCGAGCGTTCGCCACCGAGGTCTCGTGGAAGACTCGTGTAGAATACAGGTTAAGCTACCAAGGGCTGGCAGGGCGTAAAGCAACGCAAAGATTCCAAGACGAGTCATCAGTCTCTCCAACTTCGTCGCGCTACGACCGGCCGAACGTATAGCACGTCGTACGCGAATCAACGCACCACCTGCCACTGCTGCTAAAATGCAACCAAGAAAGATCAGAATCGCGTGTGGTAAAACTTCGAGCCACAAAGCGGATTCATCGGCGATTTGACAGAGACCAGTAAGTTCGTCGGCAACTATTTGACGCGAAAGTAAGCTGCCTGTAAACGGAGAATAAAAAGATTCATTTGAAGGCTCTGAATATAATTTTGAAAAATAATAAAAAAATACTGGGTGTTACCTCCGGTAGCAAAGAGCGGTAATCCCCAAGCAACTGCATGTAGATACGAAGCAATATTGTGCAAAGCTTCGCTACTCCACTCGTTTCTAGCGCTGAGAAGCCAACAACCGCACAGTATCGCCCACCAAGTGCTACTGGCTAAACTCAGATAATGCTTGACGATCCACCAGCTCGTACAAGGAATACTCTTTAATCCATCGTGAACCGGCACATAACTCGGTCCATCGAGTTGGCTGACACAGCTAAGAATTTCGACACCGATTGCACCTCTGATGATATAATTTACCGACAATAAGTTGTAACAAAGCGCCAAAAATACTATGGGTCTCTCTGGATAACGGAATCTGGAAGGCTCGACCCAGAACGTTAAAAGAGTGAAAAGGGTGGATAAAAAGCAGAGCCATGCCCATCCTATCATCCATCGTTCGGCAAATTTTTTATCTTCGGCACGATAATAAGCGTCGGTACCGCAACGTGGAACACAAGAGATCTAAAATATTAAATAGATGTATATAGATTATATCGGATTAAATTAAATTCGACTTGTCAAATCGTTAAATTAAATTCGATTTGAAATTTTTCCATTCACCATTTGTACATCCGGCGTTTGTACGAAATGAGGCGGACACTGATGATGATTCTGCAGTCCCGTGGACGTTTGAACAGGCTGAATTTGTTCTTGCGTTGGCCATTGTTGTTGAACAGACGGAACGGCGGCTTCCGAGAGAAGAGTTTCCTCGGGTGGTTGAACGCAAAGTGTGTTACCTGAAAGATCAACGAAAGAAAAAGATTTCTTAGAAACGATTCGTAAAACCTGATCAAAGACTACGTAAAAAGTTGATTTCCTCGTTACCTCGATCCAAAAATCGATCGCAGTCGAGCATATGTGGCCAAGGAAGAGTGAGGCTGGTCAGTGCCGGCTCGCACTCTCTCCTAACCGAAAGACAGAGAGATTTGCAAGCGGGTATCTGCATGGCCACATGTTCGGAGCATACAGGGGCAAAGACGGCACAAAGGAAGAGTCTCAAGTGTTTCGAACAGTTGTAATGCACCAGAGGCATCAATGTTGCTAGCTAAAAAAAATAAAATAACTAATTATTTATTTATTAAACATTTATCAAGTTATTGGTATATAACTTTTTGGGATAGCTACAACTTTGTAAAGATTACACAATCAAGTGGGTATCTATAACGACGATACTAATACGAAGAAACTAAGACTTTCTTTTATTCTAGTGGTTAAATTAGATTTTAACAGGGAAGATCGAAAGTTCTTTCGAAGATCGGCGAATGGGTTCTCTTTCTCGGGTGTTACGGGTGACCACGTAATTTCACGAGGCTATAATTTGAAGGAACATCGTAGAGGTGGAGGAACAGGGAGTATTTTTCCTCTCTCCTCGGTGTAATGGAGCAGGGAGCAGCTAGAAGGGTGGACTCGAAGCGACGGGCCCTTCGAAGGGAAGAGAACGAAACGTCCAGCGAGACTAGAGGCGGGAAGAATGGGCGGGATAATTGCCCGTGATGCCCACCGCTCGTTATATCTCATGGAACCGCCGTCTCCTCCGCCCCGTTAGGTGCATTACCCCCTTATTTTCGATCGTCGTAGTCCTCCTCTCCTCCTCCTCTTTCTCTTTTTCTACTTCCCTCCGGGCATCTCAAAAACGCTTCGCGCGCGCTCTCCTCTCTCTCTCTCTCTCTCTTTCTTTTTTCGAATTCTTATCATCATAGGGGCAAAATGTCTCGTCCGTTTTACAAAATTCGTCTCATATTTAAATCGACATTAATTGTGAAATAAAATAAAAATATCTACCGAGTCTAATGGCATCTCAAATATATAGTTATGTGTGTGTGTGTGTGTGTGTATATATATATATATATATATATATATACCTATTATGTGGTGGTCGCATAAATGGTCGCATTTGGTAAAGGAAAGTAAAGAAGCTTCACCGCGATAGTTCCTTTGCACCCTCGAGTATAATGGAGGAAAAAACGAGAGAGGACGTTGGAAGATGGATCGCATCGGTCTCGTGACGGATGCTCGTCCCTGTCACGGTCGGTCTCTCCTCTTGATTCGACGACGACGACAATGACGAAGAAGAAGAAGAGGAGAAGGAAGAGAAGAAGGAGGAAGATAAAAAGTTCTTCCTTGTCTGGAACGACGAGAGCTAGACTATGCGTTCTGGGGAAGAACAGAAATCAACGAAGGAAGGAAGGAAGGAAGGAAGGAAGGAAGGAAGGAACGAACGAACGAAGAAACGGAGACCGGTTCCCGCATGGTGCATTCCCTTCCTTCGTTATTTCACGTTTTTCTCCGAGAATGGCCCGCCGAGAGCACCATAGGGAATAAGAAAGAAGGGAATCCACCTTGAAGGGAGAGAAAGGGTGGCTCCACGTCGATGCTTCTGCTGGAGGATAGCATTTTAAAAGTGTCTTGACAGACAACCGAGATGGCTCGCGAAAAAGAGAAAGAGAGAGACCTTCTCTTTCCTTAGCTCTCTCTCTCGGAGACAACGAAGAGACTTTGCGTTGCGTAGTAGTGTATTAGTAGTGGTAAGATGTAGTCCGCTTCTTCTCCTTTTCATCTTCTTTCTCTCTCTCCTCTCTATCTCTCTCATTTTCTTCTTCTTGCTTCGTACTCGCACGATTCGAGCGGCTTCCTCTTTTCTCTCTCCCTCTCCTCATTTCACCCTTTCGTTCCCCTCACCAGAACTCCTTCAACAGCCTCGGGTCGTTCCTCTCGCTCGGATCGGTTCAGCTTTTATAGCCGCGTGCCTTGCCTTCGATATTCCCGCGAGTACGCAGGATATGTACGCGCATATTATGTGCGCGTATGTACGAATACGTCGGCGAAAAAGCTTCTTGCGCTGACCTCCTTTCTTTCTTTCTTTCTTTCTTTCTTTTTTTCTTCCTTCCTTCCTTCCTTATTTCTTTTCTTCTTTTCCTTTTCCGTCGAAGGAACAGCAAAAAGATTTGATAGGATAGATAGAACCGTTCCTTTGATCCTTTAATGTCGACGCGACTCGCCTTCCACGCACGTCCTTTATATAATTTCTCTCAGCGTGTACACCGATTCGCACAGCTGGAGATTTTAACGCAGCGACAAGAGAGACCAATCGTTCCTGCGCACACACACACCTATCTCCAACATTGTTTTCATTGAGTACGAAAATACAATGTAACATCGAATTATTTGTAAACAAAAATGTAATTAAAAAAGAAATCTTTTTCTCAGCGTTTTATCTCTTTCTTCTTTCGTTTGTACATTATAAAAGATGTGAGCGTTGCTCAATGACGACGTATGTATTGAATAATTTGCGCGCCTTTGTCGCCGTCCTTCGCAAGCCACTAAAAAGATCGACTTTAATTTATCCACGATACGTCCCGTCGCGTCTCATACACGCTTCTGTGATATCGTTCGCTCTCTCCTCCTTCCCTTCGGTCGTCCTCGAGACTACTCTCGACGCACCGTTCATTAACCTTTCATTTGTGCAATTTTTTCATTCCATCGTACAAGAAGAAATGGACAACGAATACTCGACTCGCTTGTCGGTTAGATTCGCGATTGATGATCATCCAGCAGATAGCCGATAGATACCATTTACCTGTAATAAGCTAAAAATGATGTCTTCAAGAAAGTTCATTGCTCGAAACACCAATAAAAGAAATAATACATAGAAAGGAAACGAGTCCGCTTCTTTATTTAGCGATTTAAAAGATATTACTTCATAGTTAGCTAAAAGAGAGAATCACGGAGGCAACTAATTAAACCGACTTTCAAATTAATTACTTGGACGGTATCGAGGAGAGGTTTTGAGGTTAGAAACCATCTGGGTTTGCCGGCGAGCTATCTCGATCGGCGATCATCAAAAGGCCCCTATCCTCAGCGATATCCGATCGTCTTAATGCGCTTTTCATGTCTGACATCGAGCCCGCGAGATACGCGAACGCGAATAAACTTTTATATCGTTGCACTTCTCTCTTTTTTCGTCGGCATAACGTCGAAATAAAGAGAAAATGAACGGAAAGACGTAGAGGAAATAATTTATAAGAAATTCAAAGGGTAATCCGACTAAACGAACGAGATTTCGAAGGAGTCGAGGGTAAAGTAGACGAGAGAAGCTCGTTTACTTTTCAACAGGATGTTTCCTGGAAAAGTCGGTTCTGCCGAGTGGTTATACGAGCCGCGAACGATCCGACAAGATCAAATATATATATATACATATATATATATATATATAAAACTATATATATATATAGTTACTACTATACGAACGAATTTATTCCAAGTTTGTTGTGCGACTCTCCCCCCGAGGCCAATTCCTCCGAATATAATTAGATTAGCGTATAAATCCGTTCCTCCTTTTTTTTTTTCGATTTACAAGACATTCTTCCTCGTCGAACGAATTCTATGGAGAAAATTTGACGATGCTAGTCAAAGTCACGCTGATCGTCTTTCTCTTACTGTAATAAATTTAATGAGGGTCCGTACAGCTCGTTTAAATATCGGAGAGAACCCGACGAATGCATGGAATTCGATATTCTATCTCGGACGAAGAGAGAAAATGTGAATGGAGCCGGGCGCAAAACGATGTCCATGAATAGCCGCTGTAACAGCGTTTATCGCGAAGCCGCCTTATCGTGAAAATGATTTACAGAGACGCAAAGACGCGTCGGAGTAAAGGCTTTTGCGGCTCCCTTTGATCTTATCGACAGGACTATAAAAGCCACCTGCGTCGTAGAGACACACGTATATGGCTTTCCTCCGAGGCTTCAACGTGCTATCTCGCGCGCAATGCCGTGCCTTCGTTCCATGGATTCGTTAATCTCCGGCCGATTGCGACATCACACCGATGACTTTTAAAAATCACATAGTATGAAGAGAGAAAAACATTAATAATTCGGTTTAATCCTCTTTAAACGTAGTTTATAGTAGTACAGTAAGAGAAAAAAAAAAAAAAAAAAGAAAAACAATCTGAAACTAAATCGTTTTGATTAATAGCAAAAAAGGTAATCTCGTCGTAATCGTTCCCCCTTTTGACGTAAAAGCTCATTCGTTCGATTCCGTTTGAATTTTCATATATAGGATGTATATACGTTACGAGTTGAAATCAAACTAAAACGTAAGATCTAGAATGATATGAAATCTAATCTAAGGAGAAATGAGCAAACTCACGCCACGTTCCGCTTGCAACTGATCCTCGTGGCCCATAAAATTCGGCATGGCAGTGAGATTGTAACGCAGTCCATGGCAAAACGAAACGCTGAGTCTCTCGCATTTCGTATTCGTGCCCGCTTGACCAGCGTGATTAATGCCCCACGCTCTTGCGAGGACAAACACCGCCGATAATAACGAGATCGTTCTCCAAATATGTATCATTCTCTACTCTACGATCGAAAATATTTGTATATATCGTTTCACGGTATTCTTTTTAAATAGTTTGATATCGCGTGAAGGAGTCGTTGAACGTGACACAATTTCGATTCATCTTCTTTCAAATTTGGCGCGCATCGCGTCTCGCAAAAACTTATTTAACTTTTTATGCGCGTAATCATTGATGTTTCACGGTTATACTTCGATCGACACAATTCCGTTGATATAAGATCACGCTTGTAAGTCATAACAACGATACGTAAGGAATAAGTAGATCAGAGTAGGAACGCGTGGAAAAGAGAAACTCGATGATGTCGCGACGACGAGTCGAAGTGGACTGTCGATGGTCCGAGCATCGGATTCACAACAAACTCTCGTGCGACGTCGGCACTTCTCGACGATCCTTAACCTAATACTCGGCAATGTTCGGCTTTACTCGGCAACGTGCGACTGGGGCTCTCTCTACTTGGTACACGCTATGGGCACATACCTGCTGCGCGCTTTCGTCTTTTCTCTTTCAAACTTCTCGCGCTCGAGCGCGCGTTTCTCCTTCTCGCCAAAGGATTCTTTCCCTTTTCCACGCCTCGCCTCGACCCTCACGGGCCGCCGCCACGGGTACCTATTATTTTGGCTCTACCGCCGCTAGTCATCGAACCAATCCCACAAGCGCAATTAGGAACAAAGGGAGACTGACGGAGTACGCCGAGCAATCCCGTAGCAATGAATTTCACTCCGAATTCCCGGAAATGGTTACGTCAATGCTTTATGACGAACGGGACAAAACAGGTATGCTTTTCTTTCCCCATTCTCTCTCTCTCTCTCTCTCTCTCTCTCTCTCTCTCTCTGATATCTATCCCGACAGGATGATCGCTCGAATAAATTCGAATACGTTTTATATCGTCGAGGTTAGAACAGATTTCCTAATCGCTCGTTTAGCTTTGTTCCGTCGTTAGGACGATTCTTTTTTTCTAACCCGACAAGAATATCACTGAGAAAGAAGAGAGAGAGAGAGAGAGAGAGGTGAACGCGAAATAATCGATTCCTCGAATATACATTTTCGAGCTTCAAAGTGGTATATAATAACGTAGGATATTATATACACGCTTACAAAGTAGATTTTGATTAGCCAACTGACCATGGTGGATTCATATTTCCCCACGGGAGGGCGCCCTTTGTTTTTTCCTCATTGTTCGTTCGCCCTTCTCTCGCTTTACTCGTTCTCTTTCCTTTTTCTTTCTTTCTTTCTTTCTTTCTTTCTTTCTTTCGCTCCGGCGCTTTTTACTTTCTTTTCGTGATACTCCAGCTCCTACTATCTCCGTCCCTCCGACAGGGTCCCTCAGCAGTATCCACGGCCAACAACCCTTTTGTATGATTTCATTACGGCTCACAATGGACTTAGCCTTTGCCGTTCAGGCGCTGAATAAAATTTCGACGGCACCGAGACGGGCTTCTAATAAATTTCGTTGCGACGTACTCATGTATCCTTTAGGTATCGCATCCCACTCATCGTATCTCTGCTATGTAAGTACGTACTTACATGATTTCAATAAGAGATTACGTGTCAGCTTTCTTTTCGTTGAATCTTCCAAAGAACGAAGCAAATAAACTTGAAAAATTTACATGTATTCAAAACGTGAAAATAAAGAAATACCAAGAGTATTATTTTCGAAATAGATACCGCCTACGTCGTCGATAGAAAAGGATCGGGGGAAAAAGAACGCGCGGAAGGTATAAGAGGATCGTAATTAGTACTTTCGCGTTTAAGAGAAAATGAGAGTCTTCGTGCGGATTACATCAAAGAAAACCATAGGACACGACCTGTCTCACCGGTTTCTTTATTTCGCTGCATGAAAGCTCCGCACCGGAGAAGCTCTATCGTTACTCCCTCGGTCGTCCTTCGATGGGCGTAACAGACCGTTGCGACTGGTCCGACAGACATGAAAAGAGGCCCCGAGCACGGGTCCAACAAGCATGGGGTCGAGAAACTTGAAAATCGTGTTAATGTGTATAAGCCGGCCCGTAACGAATATCTTCAATAACCGCTCTCCTATATTTCTTCTAACTTTGTCTTTCGTTCTTTTCTTTTTTTTTTCCCCCATTTCTTTCTAATTCGAAAAACGCAAGCTCGTCTTCGAACTAATATCAGATGCAGCAGTGAATATATAGCGATAGAAAAGAAATCGATCGGTGCAGAAATCGTTGGTGAATTTCTCAAGATTGTCTCCTTTAATCAAACCTAGACTTACATCACGACGTATTAAATTCACATCGAAGGAGGCAAAGTTAATGCACGTTAATGCTCGTTCTTGTATAAGATAATGATCGATGATACACCGTAATATCGCGTCCGCATTTCTCCTTTTACGTCTCGACCACCAACGGTATTATCAAACGCGATTATAAATCCATTTTCTCGCATAAGGGCGTGCACCTAAGAGTGCGCTTTTAATGTGCGAATATATTTTTCTCTTTTTCCCCCTTCCCCCTCACTCTTGTTACGAATAAAAAGAGTAACAAAAAGATGAACGAATCGATGTGATTCATGGAGGGTACCTCGTGCTTCGTGCATCTCTATGCACTCGACCGCGGTCGCGTTTGAAAAGATTTACGGCACTGTCTTCCTCGCGAGAGAAAATGTTGCATACGAGATCTTAATGAACTTGCGCGTCGGCCATTCATTAGAAATAATTGTTATTCCACGAAGGACTGTCGCTATAATTTCGAATAGATATACAAAAGAAAGAAAACTATATACTCGAAAAAAAAAAAAAAAGAAAAAAAAAACGAAAAAAAAGAAGAATTGTTTTTCGAGAAGCAACGCAACACTAGGGACAGATCGACTCCGTGACATGTAAAAGGAATGTTTCAAAAATTGTCAGCATTCTTAGGGTTCATCGGGCATCGATTTGATTTTGCCGGTCATGAATGAAAGAAAGGACGCCAACGATGAGGTAGAAACAATAGGGGTAAAAGAAGCGGCGGCTCCAACCAGAAAAAGGAGAACAAAGAAGATGGATGTGAAGATCCATCGGCGGTTCCTCCTTGGAACGTGCCTTGGATATTTCGAGCAAAGCGAGTCCACGTCCGGAGCTACTTTTCTGCATTTATTAACCGAGCTCCGTCCTGTAGAAAAACTGGTATCGAGTTGCCGATTCCTATGGTCGCGTATAATTTACTTTTTGACGATGAGAGATTAAGAGGAGAAAAATCTCATTAAAATGTGTACCTATAAAAGGTGCCCCACCGTGTATGTAGGTCAGTTAAAACGAATTCTTTCGCTAAATTCTCTAGATAATTATGATCGGGCTATAGGACTTTCCAGTGATATTTCTTCGAGCTCGATCGTTCCACGGCTCACAAAAGAAACAAAAAGAGGAATGATCCCATGCAAGGAGACACGAGTAAAGGGAAGAAAAGAAGAGAAGGTGAAGGGCCTAACGTCGAAGGGCCCAAAAACTCGTCCCCGTCCGTTCTCGACCGATCCCGGTGAATCGAATCGTGATTTTCAAGCGACAGACGCAGAAAAAGTTTAAAATCTCAACGTGTCTCGGCACGGCGGTCAGTTCGGCTCGGTGCTTTCTCAAACTGCCAGCCGTGTGTATCCCCATTTTTTACTTCCACTCGGGCATTGCGAATTTCGAATTCAAAGACGGGCCGATGATCGTAAAAGTTAATGTTTAAATTTAATTAAAAAAAGATAAAAAAATATATATATATATAACGTAACTTGTAAACGTACTTTTTCGAGATTCATACGTTTTAATCCAAATCAGCGTCTCGGGTCGCATCGTTTACGGTGAGATGGTAATCGCCGTGAATTTCTTCGTGAGGGAAGTCAAGAAAGAAAAGAAGAAGAAGAAGAAGAAGAAGAAGAAGAAGATACAGATGAAGAGAAGAAGATCGGCAAGAGGGTTTCGTCCCAAGAGCGTCCAGCAATGAAGATTGCGAGCAAAAAGTGGGAATTCCCGCGTCCGGTGCTCCGCTTGGCCGCACGGCACATGCGCAGCTAATTACAGTTCCCTTTGATGGTTCGCCGCTGCCGCCGCCGCCGCCGCCGCCGCCACCACTGCTGCCGTCGCAGTCACAGACGCAGACGCAGTCGCCTCGGGACCCTCGATCGCCCACCAACATCCTTAGCTCTTTTCTCTTCGAGCTTCATCCGAGCGCAATTATGCCTTCGAACATATACCTCGAATCTTTTTCTCTTCGTCATTCGAACGTTTTTCGATACCTTTTTTCGACTTTTCAAAGAGGACTCATCTTTTTACAAAATTTAACATATTCCTTCTATTTTTCTCTTAATAAATATATAATAAATGTAAAGCCGGATAAAACTTTTAGTCCGTAGAAAATTAGTTATTTTTCAAATTTCGTTAGGTACAAGAGATGATAAAAGAAAAAGAGAGATGAACATCCGGGAAAGGAGTAGGGGGCTATTCATTAAAAGTGCCGAAGGCGGCGAACGATTGCTTATAGCTTATAGCCTCTACTTGAAGCCGCGCATTAAATCCATGTTATTACGGGCTATTACCGAGTAATGAGAGGCTCCCTTGCACCATTTACGTATCCGCCAGTATCTCTCCTCTCTCTTTCTCCCTCCTTCTCTCTCTCCCTCTCTCTCTCTCTCTCTCTCTCCCTCCCTCTCCCTTCCTTTCCCTTCTATCTGCCAACTCTACGTATCTCCTCCCGCTCGAGCGAAATCCCGTTTCTCTCCGCTATTCGATCGCATCTCTCACGACTTTGACACTATCCGTAGCTTCCAAACTCAAAACCGTCTATCTTCGATGCTATCACCATTCAACATTTATTTTGATAACATTTGCGATATTATTATTAGAGAAAAGTTTTTGTAAGATGATATTCAATGTTCGCGTGAATTTAATAACGTTCTTTTATCTCTCTCAGTAGGTATAGATTATTACAAAGTTACTACGCCTTCGAAGGCCAGAAGCATTTCAAGAGCGCAAGGTAGCAAGGTCTGGAAGGGATCAAATTAAAGGGAGTGATTTTTACCACTTGCCGCAACGTACATGTATAATGTATATGCTATATAAGTAGGTGGCTATATTTGAAGGGCTCGAAAGAGTTCTCCTTCCAAGAATCATCCTATCTCTTTCCTATATCTGTTCCCTTTTTTTTTCTCGGTCCATCTCTTACACGTAGAAGTTTACAGGCCCCCAAGATACTCGTTTCTGTAACGTAATAACGGGTGTTCCGCGCTCACGTATCCCGAAGGTGTGATCCGACTTGGGGCCTTTAATTCTTTGCGATTTTATGTACTATCAAAGTCTGCGGTCTGAAACAAGAGAAAGGGTAAGAGAGAATTGCATCTTGGAGAAAATTTTTCGTATTAAAAAATAATAATATTTTCTTATCATTTTCTGTCTTAACGTTAATGCCGAATAATGAAATTCCTTTCGTTCTTATTTCGTTCCTTTCTAGAGAGAGGGAGAGAGAGAGAGAGAAAAACTCGAAAATAATGAATTTTTATATGGAAGAGTTATGCGATCGACTTCGTTATCGCGATTATTCCTTTCTGGTAGCAAGTACCTACATAGTATTCGGTCGATGTTTCTCATCGAATTGTACGGTTAATTAGCGAATTTCTCCAAGGAATACTTCCGCTTTTTATCGCTAAAATCGTCGGTAGTTGCTCGTCTTTGGCGAAATTAGTTATTTTATTAAGGCGAAACGTATAGGCTGACCCGTAAAGACGATCAAAAACAATTTCGCCGCAACAAAATGAACAAGATCGCATGTCTTCTCTTTCATGTCAATTACACCGCAAATGTGCTAATTGACGAAAGCAACGATTAACCCCATACGCTTTGGCATCTGCGCGACATGTGGTCGCACCGCATTCCACATCGCGATTTCCTGTAACGATCGCGTAACTTTCTTTCCCTTCGGTTAATGCCAACGTAGTATTTTTCTCATTTTAATTAGACCTCTTCCAAGAAAGATGAGTGGAACAAAAGTTTGCGTGGATCCTTGAGAAATTACACGAGAGACAAATTATTTTACAATTTTTTCCGATAAAAGTATTACGTGTATCAGGAAACAAAGGACACGAAAGGAATAATGTAAAATGAAATGTAAGTTAAGCGTATATTTATAGGGAATGGAGGGTAGTGGCTTCGACTGACCTTTTTAAGGCGTGAAGGGGAGATTCGGTTCGCTTGGCTGACCCACTAGTCCCACCCTTGAGGGCCCTACCGCCATAACGTAATGATCTCCTGTGGTACTCAACTTCTTAGGATATTCAGCCGACCTACCAGTGGTTCTCGACTACGAAAGTGAGAAACGTTTATGAAAAAAGTCTGAATCAACTTTTATTGGTATATAACGTACAACGTAGCTTTATGTAAATGAAACATTTTAACGAAAGTAATAAATGAAAAAAAAAAAAAAAAAAAAAAAAAAAAAAAAAAAAAAAAAAAAAAAAAAAAAAAATGTAATAATATACTGGCTTAAGGCGATATATGATTATACGATTGAAGGATAATCGAAGATAAAGATAAAGATAAATTGATTCGTTTATCGCATATTTAAGTATGTGCACCTTTAAGCAAACTGTCTCTTCTCTTTCGTAAATCTCTCTCGAGTGTAAGAAGATAGAGACATTTTTCTGCTTTCCTGATTGAAGTAGAAACGGCAGTCGACAGGTGTGAGTGGCGTAGTGCTTCGAGGTCGGCTAAGATCAAAGGATCCAGCAAGAACTGCTAATAATAAAGCAGCCACTCGCAGGCAGTCGGCCGTGCACACGCGGCGTGTCCTTTCCCTTCCCCCTCCCAGACTCGAGAAACATGCCAGCGTGTATCACAAACGCGCGCACACTTATGCTCCGAGTAAAGCGTCGTGCGGTTTTTACAATTTCTTTTCCCTTTTGTTTCTGTAAAATTCATTCATTCATTTTCTCCTTAGAATATTACTTTATTATTATTATTATTTTTATTTTTTTAAGATATTCTCGTAACGTTTCAAACATAAATTCGACAAATTTCTTCTCTTACGACGAAGACAATTTCGACAAATCACTTTAAATAATGCCTATTATAACGTGCCTTCGTAAAATCGTATTAATTAGTAGCATACAACTTGTTCGCTTCAACGTTTCGCATATTTATGCATGAGAAAGACGCTAACACCACCTTACGTTCAAGACGGTGTACTAACGCTTACATGTTACATTATCATCGAAACATGAATCAAGAAAAAAAATTGCATTAACAAGGAATATTTGTTTCTGTTGTAAAAGAAAAACATATGAAAGTAATTATGCAAAAAAAAAATTGATGAGAAAAGTCAAAAAATTTCAGAGGTCAAAAAAAAAAAACAAAAGTAGTAAATTTGTAGGCGTACCAACATCGAGGAACCAAAGAGAGAGGCAACAAATTTTACTAGCTGTAACAGCGCCATCTATTAGGTTGGAAACTATGAAACGGGCGTTTTTGTTTAGTTATTTATTTTCATTCAACGTCCGTTTCATAGTTTCCAACCTAATATATAAGTATACATAATACTTATTCATTATTTAAAAACGAATAACAATATGAAAAATAAAGAAATTACATATAGAATTCGTGTTAAATCTCTTCGCTTTTCGTTATTTCACTTTACGAGAAACTGAAATCATCTCGATGCACTTTCCCCTAAGAAGAAACTTGTCCAACATTTACCATACTCTACACGAGGTCATATTTTCCACTCTAGATAAACATACGTAAGCATAGTTTCGTTGTATATTTTAACGCGTCGATATTCTTGGCACGATTAAGCGTGAGAAACAAATAAGCGACTACGACGCTTTCAACTTTGTAATATTATTTTCGTTTTCGAAAGAAAAAATGAGTAAGGTGGCTAACGATTCTCAAATACGCTCTTCCAAAAAGATTCTTATTGACGACAAGAGGGAAGAAGATGATGAAGATGAGGAGGAGGAGGAGGAGAAGGAGGAGGAGGAGGAGGACGACGAGGAATCTGAGACAGAGGAAATGTCATTGAAAGAGAAAATTCCTTGCACTCACGAGGTAACAATGACACATGGTACGAAGGCAGTAATTGCTATTGCTGCAGATCCATCTGGAGCACGTCTTGCATCAGGATCGATCGATTACGATGTCTGTTTTTGGGATTTCGCCGGTATGGATTCATCGATGCGAAGTTTCAGAACTTTGCAACCTTGTGAAAATCATCCAATAAAATGTTTACAATACTCTACGACCGGAGATGTAATACTGGTTATATCAGGAGCGGCACAAGCTAAGGTATTGGATAGGGATGGGTTTGAAAAATGCGAAACCGTGAAAGGCGATCAATACATAACGGACATGGCACGTACAAAGGGTCACACAGCAGGTCTTAATTGTGGATGTTGGCATCCATTTACCAAAGAGGAATATTTAACCTGTTCGCAAGATAGCACCTGTAGAATTTGGCTGTTACATAGGCCACGTGGTCATAAGAACGTTATAAAATGTAGAGCACAAAATGGTGTAAAGACTATTCCAACTACGTGTAGTTATAGCCGAGAGGGAACCGTCGTAGCATGCGGATGTATAGACGGTTCTATACAAATGTGGGATCATAGAAAAAATTTTGTGAATCCGTCCTTGACTTTAAGAAACGCCCATGGCTCGAATAATGAAATATCAAGCTTGTGTTTTTCTTACCTTGGACAAACTTTGGCAACGAGAAGTTGCGACGATACATTGAAATTATGGGACTTAAGATCATTCAAAGTTCCAATATTTGAAGTAAAAGATTTATTTTCAAGATATGAAACAACGGATTGTATGTTCAGTCCGGACGATTCTATGATAGTTACTGGTGAATCTTTAAAAAAGGGTCAAGACATGGGTAAAATATTATTTTACGATACTAAAACGTTTGACCGCATAAATGAAATACCAGTAACCAATTCGCACGTTATTAAAACTTTATGGCATCCAAAATTAAATCAATTATTTGTTGGCTGTGGAAATGGTATTGTTAAAGTATATTACGATATCAACAGGAGTATGAGAGGTGCCAAATTATGCGTCGTCAAATCTCATTTCAAACACAAGCACATGGAAGTAATGTCTACTCAACAAATTATAACCCCACACGCTCTACCGTTATTTAGACAAGATAGGCCTAAATCTGTTAGAAAGCAAATGGAAAAAGATCGTCTCGATCCTGTGAAATCGCGACGTCCAGACTTACCGATTACTTCCGGTCAAGGTGGAAGAGTAGCGTCGTCCGGTGGAACATTAAGTTCTTATGTTATTCGTAATCTTGGACTCAGTAAAAGAATAGAGGATGATCAGGATCCTAGAGAGGCAATTTTGAAATATGCGAAAGAAGCAGAGGAAAATCCATACTGGATAGCACCTGCGTATAAGAAGACACAACCAAAAACTATTTTTCAAACTGACGAACAAGATAGCGGCCCGAGTACCAAGAAACAGAAGACATAAATAGATTTTAATTGGAAAAAAATAATATCTTGTAAATAAGTATAAAAAGATGATAATAATAATAATAATAATAATAATTTAAGATACGTACTGTGCAAAAGTATATAATGAATGTTGTTTTATAATATACTATGTATTATTTATCTCTTCATTAGAAAAGACATTGATATTATTATAAAGATATGTATAGAATGTTGTTTTAAACAAAAAAGATACACGATGTAATGTCAACGTAATTAAAGGTAAAAAAAAAAGATAGATAGGGACCTTGGTTAATTTTTTCGAGAGAACTAGTGATCTTTCAGTACCATCTGGTGACTGGAAAGGGAAATTTGGAATTTCTTTCGCCCTCCCCTCCCCCCTTTTAACTAGTCAATCTTGGATAACACATGTACAAGCCATAAGCCATCTTATATATCTGCGACTGCGTTACATTTGAATGTTTTCACAAGTTTTCTTTTCGATTGGGAGATGCATTTAAAACTATACGTAATAGCAGCGGCATGCGAAAACTTAGGAATCGGTATAAATGGAAATTTGCCGTGGAACTTGAAGTAAGTTTTCTTTTAATATCTCGTCGTAATACTTGCTTTCTTGAAATATAATTGGATATAACAGTCTTCTAATCATGATTCTCACATATATAGGACTGAAATGGCATTTTTCACGCATATGACGTCAAAAACAAGTAATGAAAAGAAAAAAAATGTGGTACTGATGGGTAGAAAAACCTGGGATTCTATACCGCCAAAATATAAACCCTTGCAGAATCGTATTAATATGGTTTTGACGAGACAATCTCTGTAATCATTTAAAACTCGAAAGATTAAGAAAGTAATCCTTTCTAGACAGTCGTTTCGAAGAACTTATATCATTAAACAAATTTTTGTAGAAACTTTGGAAGCGGAACGATTCCTTGCAAAAGTATTTCAGATGCACTCGACATTGTGTCTCAATCACCATTGTGCGAAGAAGTGGAAAAAATATGGGTCATAGGAGGAAGTTCCGTTTATAAAGTAAGCCTATATCCCGATCATCCTTTGGATAATAACTTTTTTCCCTTGCTACAAAGTTTATATTTTAATTTCAGGACGTTTTGGAATTACCAAATTTTTATCGTTTGTATCTCACGAGAATAAAGAAACGTTTCGATTGCGACACGTTTTTCCCAGAGCTTTCGACCGATTTCGTACCGGTCAAGTAAGTTTCGCCAATTCCTTTAACGTATCGCGAAATAATAATTGTGATCGTTTTTAGGGATCCCAATGTACCAGATGGAATTCAGGAGGAAAATGGAATTCAGTTCGAGTATACGGTTTACGAGAGAAAATGAAATAAAAGTTTGTACTTTTGTTAAACAGATGGATGAACGAAAACTAACGATATAAATACTAACATTTTCAATGAGAATGAATTAATTTTTAAATGTATCGAAAATAAAAGAAATCTATTTTATATAGACTCTATTCAAGGCGTTGATGTATATTTCATAACCTCATCCTTTTATTAACATTCGAAAGGGGAATATGTAATACATAAGTTTCGAATTCGTGCGAAATAAGATTAGATCATATAATTCGTAAGTCGTTAACCCGGAGGCCATTGCATCTGCCTACCGCCGAGTACATGCAGGTGCAAATGAAAGACCGATTGCGCCCCGTCTTTTCCATCATTGATTACCAAACGAAAACCATTATCTAGACCTTCTTGTTTTGCCACTTGTCGAGCTACCAACATCAAATGCCCCAACAAGGCTTCATCCTCGTTACTTGCTTTTGACAATTGTGAAATTGGTTTTCTTGGGATTACCAAGAAGTGTACAGGAGCTTGGGCGTTGATATCTTTAAATGCGACACACTGATCCAAAAAGAAAACAATTAATCATGCTGAATCGTCGAAAAATTAACCTTGCAGTTATATCGCAGAATGATACACATGGATGATAAATATACGCATTCTCTTTACTAATTATTAATAGCTCACCTTATCGTCTTCGTAAATGAAGTTGCATGGTAGTTCTTTGCGCAATATTTTACCAAATATAGTATCGCCGCCGGGAGTAGCGGTTTGTGCTTTTTCCACCTCGGTCGCCATTTTTCTTTTATACAAGCTCTTCGATATATTACCACTCGAAGATGCGATCCTTCTGGACGGAATCAATGCAAATTTTAAGGAAAATGACATTTTCGAAAAAAGTGAAATTTAACGAACGTTCGTTAACAAGGAAACTTAGAGATATAGTTTTAAGTTTAAAGGTCCCTCATGTTTAGATTATTATCACCAACCTTGGAAATATAAAATAATGGTAGACTTAAAATAAGGCGCGAAGATTTGATTCATATGGAATATTAATATTCAAGAAATAAACTTGAATTTTTGACTTTCGTTGCTTTTTCAATATTAAATGATTAAACGATTACATGATCGAAATAAATGTTGGTAGAGTTATTTTAATAATTTACAAAACTATAAAATGATTTTATTCTATTATACAGTCTTTTTAACTTTTGTAATAACACATTACAGTATCTTATTATCTTAGATGTACATAATACATATACATATAAATATATATCGCTGATATTTATACGTTGATAGCCGATATCTTACATAAAATACAATCTTAGTATTAATATATCTAGCTACTTATTTATATTACAAGATATGGCAGTGTCTTTTCTGGTTTCCTATGAAAGATCCTAAATCTTTCAATGATTCTAATAGGTCAAACGGCCCCAGTCTTATAAAAATTATCCTATTATAATATATATTTGTGTGTGTGTGTGTGTGTGTGTGTGTGTGTGTGCGCGCGCGTGCGTGCGTGCGTGCGCGTGTGTATATTTAAGTATATAATTAAACGAAGCTAAACACTATTAGCTCATAACTAATTAATTTACGCGCAGTAGAAGTTTAGGAAAATTTGTCACTTCGTAGAAAATACAGAAGTAGTATGTCTTTGTGTTTTTAGAAAATATCGTAATTCTTAAACATTAATTACGAGTTATTATAAAATACCTTTTTAAATACTATACGTTATTACTATTATATACCTAAATTGGTATATAAAAGATAGATTGAAATAATATATAATAACTAAGGTCAAGTCTTGGGTATATCTTGTACAATTACTTAAACATCTTATATAATATGATATTGTTGAAAATGATATTGTTACAACCTAAAAAATGTTAATTATAATATCCAAAATTTTCTATATGTATGTATAATTTTGGATATTATTGGATAAATTACGCTCCCTAAAAATAATTCTATCAGTCTAAACATGAATCATTTTCATTGAAGTATTTGTGCTCTAAAGCCTGAGTAGCAGTTAAACGAACACGAGGGTCAAACTTTAATAAAGATTGTATAAGGTTCAATCCGTCATCATTGAGATTAGGTATTACATCACTTAAAGGCTTTGGTTGTCTATTAGGAAATGCATTCCAACTAAGCGATACGTTTTTTGGCCACTCTACTTCTGATGGAGTACCAATAATACTAAAATATCAAATACAAAATATATTTATATATATATATATATATATACACACAATTATATTATATATATATATATCTTTATTATAATTTAATATAATTATATTAATTTAATATAATTATAGTAATTAATATATATATATATACACACAATTGTGTCTACAAGTCATATTACAATGAATTAATATTTATAATTAAAGCTTACCGGAAAATCCTATCCAATTGGTCTCCTTCGCTGGTACCAGGAAATAATGGTTTCAAGCTACTAAGCTCAGCTAATATACAACCAACTGACCACGTATCTACGGGAGTTGCATACGAGCAACCTAATAAAACTTCTGGCGCTCGATACCATTGGGTTACAACCTAAACAATATGGAATATATAGAAAGTAAGTTATTCGTTCAACTAAAACAAGTATATGTCAAGTATATAGAAAGAAATGTTAAAATTACCACAGAAGTCAATCTCATTTCAAAGTCATATGTTCTGGCTAAGCCAAAATCAGCAATTTTTATCGTTCCTTCTCGCGTGACTAATAGATTCTGTGGCTTCAAATCTCTGTGTATAATCCTGTGACTATGTAAAAATTCAACGCCCCGGAGGATCTCCTTTGACATTTGCTTTACAATGTGGGACGATATGCCTATCTCTGGACACGACGACAAATAAGATGCCAAATCTTGTTCCACATGTTCGAAGACTAACCAAAGAGTCAACCCTTGATTTGATCGGTCAGATCTTTCGTCGCTGGAAGGCAATTGATGATAATTGCCTTGACAAACGTCTAATAATCTAACCTATTGGTTTTAAGAGATATGCCATAAGTATTAATAAAATAATTAAAATAAAAATAATTAAAACAATTAAAACAAATTATTGAAGTACTTACAATATGTGGATGTTCGAATCTTTCAAGCTGTTTTAAAGTTGCTATTTCTCTTAATGTACTCGTGGGCAGTCCATCTTCCGTCAATGGTACTCTAACTTTTTTAAGCGCGACTACTTGACCGCTGGTTAAATCTTTAGCTTTATAAACAGTACCATAGGCACCGTTACCAATATAAGATAATTCCTCGTATGACGCATGTTCCCCCGTTAAGGATGTTTGTACATCTACCGCAGAATCTAATTCAGTGGTTTTCATGTCAAGGGACGTTCCTTGATCGGTATGCTCTTCGTCAGGCTTTAGAATGTTGTGATCTCTCCAGGATGGTCCTGGGCTTACTTCATTTATTGGAGATTCCGTTGCACTCAATGTCTCTAGAATATTTTTTTTTCTTTTATTTATTTTTTTTTTTTTTACGTGCAATACAACTAATATATAAAATATAAGCAAAAACATTTTGTCAAAAGAAATCTTATTTTCTCTACCTTGTGAGAGATTTAATGCTTCTTCTTCAACGTCCTTTGGCGTTGTTATCCTTTCGCTACTTTCTAACTCCTTTTCCACGTTACCTTCCTCTTCGACTGTGACGTAAGATGCAACCTCTTGAGGTAGATCCGATAATTTGGGTCTTTTCGAATGTGTAGATGAGAGATCCGGTCCGAGCTCTGAGCTCGGACGTCGAGATCTTCCGGCCATCACCACATTTCGGCTATGTTCTAAAAAATTAACAATATATTTAATTCAATATTATTATAGTGCCAATCCTTTCGTATGTACCATCATTGATATTTGAAAATTTATAAAGTGGAAGAAAAAAAAGAGGAAAAAGAAAAAAATGCAAACAGGCAAATATTAATTCCTGTTTTATCTTTCTTGATTAAGACCTGGAAGGAGCGAAGGCGATTAGAAACTAAATACGTCGAAGGAGAAAAGGAACAAAGAAAGAAAGAAAGAAAGAAAGAAAGAAAGAAAGAAAGAAAGAAAGGAAGAAAGAAGGAAAGAAAGAAAGAAAGAAAGAAAGGAAGGAAGGAAGAAAGGAAGGAAGGAAGGAAGGAAGGAAGGAAGGAAGGAAGAAACACACTTGCGTGCTGATGATATAGTAGCTTCTTTTCGACGGAAAGGTAAATATAGTTTTCTAGAAGTCTTTCAATGAAAATTCTTCCGCTCTTTCTCTTTCAGACTAAGCGGTGGAAATGACGTTCGTATATACATATGTGTATATATAGAAGGAGAGAGAAAAAGTACGTATATATATATATATATATATATATATATATATATATACACGTTGGCATACACCGTCTGCTTCGTGACATCTGCACCGACACCTGCGTTCGTATAATAGAACCCTCGTCGCCCTTCACCGCCTTCCGAAACATCTTGTAAACGTAATGAAGCCCTTATATATCGTACAAACCTTGGATGAAGTTATAGTAGTAGGAGTAGTAGTAGTAATAGTATCCTTCTAATAACATCCGCAACCAATTATCCTGATCGTTGGACGTTGTAGACATATCAAAATAATGTTCGTTACACTTATTTTCAGGAAAGTCAACTTTTTTATCTGGAGTATACCAATTTTTTTTGTTCTATTTTTTTTCTTTTTTCTTTTTTTTCTACCAAAATTATGACGTTTACGCGTAACTTATTTTCAGGATGCACATCAGCCACGATATCCCCGTGATTAAACGTCCTCCTTTAAGAAACTTTTCAATATTTTTGGGAAAAAGGAAAAAGAAGAAAACTGAAAGATTCGCGAACTGTTCGGTACACTCAAAAGTTCGACAAGTACTGAACCGATAGTTGGTGACGACGTCCTTTTTATACTCCTGCACGTAATATATTTTTCAGGCAGGTAGTTGATGTAGTTGAATAGAGGAACTCTAATTGTTTGATTTTAAAAAAGGTCCGTACTAATACAAAAGAAACAACCTAAGCAGGGTCATTACAGTGACGTTTGGGACTTCAGATAATTTTTACTGTCATTATTCAGTTTAAAATGTCCAAGTATTTTACAATGGTAGTTTGACATAAAATCAAATATTTTAAGATTATTGATAGGTAATATATTGGTATATTGAAAGAGAGCTCTTAAGATTGAAAATTAGATAGAGCCAAACAATGAAAAAGATATTAAACGAGACACGTTGTTGTAGAAAAGAAGGAAAAAGAAAAAGTAATTTTTCATTTGGTATAGCGACAACTTGCGATAAGAATGAGAAGAGAGAATGTAACTTTTCTCTCAAGGGTCGAGAGAAGTAATAAAGATGGATGAGGATGGTAAATATTTTGTGTTATAGAGATAGGAAGAAAAAAGAGAAAGTTTCCGTCCCGGCACGGAAATGTAATAAAGTTTCAAAGGAATGTTATCGCTTCTCAGTTTTTATTTTCCATTTTTTCGTAGCAAAGATGCATCTATATATATATATATATATATATATATATATATATATGTATGTATGTATGTATGTATGTACGTATGATGTATGCATGTATACATCTACATAGATTCATTGAGCGTCCTCGGCGAAGAAGTGATTTATTAATGAAAAGCATCGGAACGAGCGGAAGGGAAGGCGTCGTACGCGCCACTGCGATTACGATACAATGTTGCAACGAGATTGGGAGTGAGAAGGCTTGCGGCCGAGTTTGTCCGCTCGGCTCGATTAAATATTTTTATCGGCTTCCTCTCGCGATAAAGAATGGAGGACAAAAAAAAAAAAGAAAAGAAAAAAGAAATAGAGGAAGGGAACGTAAGCGAGTCGTAATAATCGAAAACAAAAGAAAAGAAAAAAAATAAAAAACTCACTAGCGATGATATTTTCGACGAGATCCTGATCACGACTCTCAATGACTCTGCTTCTGCTTGGGACGAAAATGCAGGCGCAGAGGGAAAAAAGGCGTTACAAGAGAAAAAACGTGCAACAATCTCGAAAAAAAGGAAGAAGTAGAAGAAGACGAAGTGGGGATAGCGCCTTCTGAGAAGTATCCGGGCATCCGGGACTTTTTTTCGTTGGAGTGTGTGAGACAGACAGAGAGAGAGAGAGAGAGAGAGAGAGGGGGGAGAGAGAGGACAGAGAAAAGAAGCAGTGGGAGGACGATAGGAGAGCGAGAGGAAAGGAGGAAGGGTGTTTGAAAGGAGGGAGAGAGAAAAGAACGGAAAGGTCTATGAAACTAAAGAGAAGCATCCTTACATCGGCGGTGAAGCTAGCGAGTTTGTGTATGTAGAAGTATGCCTTTTCACGTGGCATTATCTCGACATCGGCTTCTTGGAAAACGGGGTCGTTTCGACGTTCCACACCAACGAAGAAGAATCACTCGGGAAAGCTAGATGGAAGAAAAGAAAATACGTAGATATAAGAAAATATATTTTTGTCTACCATCGATGTACGATGATCGAAGGAAATGGCGTCTTTTAAATTACTCCCTTTTCTCTCTATTTTTTCTTCCTTTTCTTTTTTAATCATTTCCTACGCTATAAAAATATGAAAATTTTGGAAAAGATACATATACGTAATATACATGTATCCTTACGTACATAAGCGCATCTAGGATACATGTATTTACTCTGATGGTTTCCTATCGACGCCATTTTCTATCGACCTCTCGAAGGAAAAACGGAAATACAAACGGAGATGTAAAATAAGAGGAGCCTCGATAACCGTGACAAACTAAATGTTGAAAAGTTGCGCAACGAGGCTACTTGGTATCTCGAGTGGCAGGGTACACGAGAAACTACGTTTACGATAAACGACGTTCCGTTTTTGGTTGTTTTTTTTGTTTTTTTTTTTTCCTTTTTCTTTCCCTCTTCTCTTTTATTCCCGATCAAAAGTCGATCGTTCTTATGTTACGACCCATTGTTCGTCGAACGTCGATCGTCGAGTGAGAAAGATTGCATCACAACGAAACGAAAGGTTGCTTACCTCTGTGGCTAACTCGTGCAATGTTCGATTGATAAAATCACTTTATACATACATACATACATACATACATCCACGCACACGTGCATATACGCACGATATATATATATATATATATATATATATATATATATATATATATATAAAATGTCATATACACGTGTATACGTATGTGTAACGAGGAGCTATTTCGTTACTCGTACGATCGATCGACAAAACGAATTTCCCGCCAACGCATTCGAATCTCGCGCGTTTTATCGATAGTCAAAGATTTATCTATCTACTTGGATGCACGATCACCGGAGTAACGCGCGTTGAGTACAACCTGAAAAAATATCGGAACGATGAATGAGAGAAAAATAGATAACACAGGGACATTGGATACGCTTGCTATCGTATCAAGCGATAATTATATAGTCGAAAAGACGAGGAGAGACTACGAATAACGTCGTTTGCTCTATGAGATCGAGTTCAGAGTCGGACTACGACCACACAGTTACGAGCGCTCGCGTGCATGTTCACGTAGACCGAAATTCGTAGTGTTATCAAAACAAAAGCCGTTCACCGTAGACTCTCTCTCTCTCTCTCTCATTCTCTCTCTCTTTCTCTCTCTCTCACCCCTCTCCGTCCCGCCATCCACTCCCAACCATCTACCAGAGAGACAAATAAGATTTGTATCGTTAATGAGTACACACATGCATACTCGCGACAATTTGTGCAAATTTTCACATCCCATCGGCATAATCTCCTACGTGATAATTAAGTTAAATAGTGGTAAAGCCGATGACAACGATAGAATCTTTGACAAAAAGAAACCTGCGAAATCCTTCGAGATTAAAATTTAGAACAAAGATTCCCCCATTATTATCCTTACCGACGATATTACATTCTCCTTCTAGATCCGTAAGCTCGAAGGAAGTATACCGGAAGAATGGACGACATATGCGAATTACGTTCGGTCAATTTCGTCTTACACTTGAATCTTGATAGTTTTCATTGGCTCGAACATTTCGATGATCAGCGAAGGATCGCGTATATCTGCATTCGATGTCTTATCCCATTATCGAGTGATCGTAACATTCCAAAGCGTTTGCTCTATTACCGACACGCGAAACGACAAAACGTTATCATCGAAGAACGATAATCAAGCAATGAAAAATGGCGTCGACGTAGAATCTCGGGCGGGAATTTTGAAAAGGAGAAAAAAAAAAACTTTCCTCCGGAGTATTCCCTTTTATCCGAGTAAATATATTTACGTATGTGCGCACACGCACACATACACAAATTCGTTCGCCTATGTGTTGTAACAGGGCCGCCGGTACTCCAAAGTGCTCGTCTCCCACGAAAGACCTTCGTCGGCGATCTCTTGGCGTAAGTACGAAGAGAGGGGACGAAAGGGCGAAACTAGGCAACCCAGACGCGACAAAACGAGCGCAGCATTCCACCGGAAACGATATCACCGTTTCGCTATCGAGAGACCACGAAATTAGAATCGAAGGTAAGATTCGGATATCGTTTAAAGATCCGGAAGCGAGAGTAACACGACGTAATCCCGGACGAGAGAACACGTTTTTCTACGCACCGACAACATCTTTCAACTTCTCCAGAGCTTCTCCGGGATGATACTGTTCTTTCGGTATGAGAGAGAGAGAGAGAGAGAGAGAGAGAGTGAGAGAGAGACGAAGGGAGGGAATTATGGTTACAAAAACAACTTGAAAATAACTGGAAAATATGAAACGATGATAAAAATAACTTTCTTACTTTCCTATTACACTCGATAATAAAAGCAGAAGCACAAAGTTGTTGCGTCGCGAAAACGAGAGAGCAAAAGAGAAAAGAAAAGAAAGAGAAAGAGAGAGCAGCCGGCCATGGGCCGGCCGCGTGCTCGACGGGACGTCGAACTCGACACTACGCCACCGGTTTTCGCGATCGACTTTATAAGAAGAGGCCATGCATGACTGTCGCGAATCAGATGAGAACGAGGAACGCGTGGTTCGTGGAAACAATCTAGTCTCTAGTCGCGTCATCTTCGAATGAGAGAGAGAGAGAGAGAGAGAGAGAGAGAGAGAGAGAGAGAGAGAGAGAAAGAGAGAAAGGCAGAATGATTCACGTCGAGCGATCAGCTGGCACGCTATCGTGCTTTCACGTACGTCGAACTTTTCTTAGAACGATCGCCTCGTAGTTCTATCAAAATTCAAAAACGAGAGAAAAAAATACGACGAATAATGTATGTGTGCACACACATACACACACACACACACACACACACACACACACACACGTTAAAGGAAGCAATATCTCACAGTCTTTTATTATCCACCGTCATTCCCTTCGACCTTTCGACTCGCGTTCGTCGAATGATCGTGCTTCCTAGGATCGTTAACGGCAATAATTTAATAGAAGAAGAAGATATACGTACAGAGAGGGGAAGAGAGAGAGACGAATAGATACATAGATAAAGAGAGACAAGAACGTACACACAGATCAGACGTAGAACCTTTGACACTTCACCGTACACACGATCGTGCATAGGATTCCGCGTTGATCTCTGTTACTAGATTTTGCTTAATAGATCGCGAGTACTCTCGTCGTGACGACGACACCGTCGACGACAAAGACGAAGACGAAGCAAAGATGAAGACGAAGACGACTCGATAGTGTAAAGTAAAGAGCTTTGCGAGACGAGGACGACGTTCCTACCGAGGGCGGAGCACGAATGGGAGGAAGTGGGGGAAGAGGACCGATGTGTTCGTCTCGGGCCCGTAGAAGGTGCTTCGGCTTGAACGTTAAGGCTTCCTCTAAGGGCCTCTCTCGTCTTTCTATCCGATCACCGATCTTTCCTCCTTACAAAACATTTCCATAGATTTCACATTTTCTTACATCTTGGGACGGACCGATCCTCCTATCAGGTATTCTATAAGAAACGCCGACGAGAGAGCGAGAGAGAAATAACGAACGAACGAACGAACGAACGAACGAACGAACGAACGAGAGAGCGAGAGCAAGAGCGAGAGAGAGAGAGAGAGAGAGAGAGAGAAAAAGAGAAAGAGAGAAGGGAATTCACCAGTCAACAAGCAAGCCACGTGTTCTTTCTAATCCAAGAAGCTGCGTCTTTCTTACGTGGCTTCCACTGTTGTTTGCTGATCACGAAGAGCTGGACAACGCATCGACGAGTCTCGACGAATATTATATCCCGTGGCGCCAGTAAACGATGACGCTCTAAATGTCTTCCACTCGTTTCCACTTTCCTCCTTTTCCTCGTAGATATCTTCTATCGTATTCTATTCCACTCTATGCGATCAGCGTGTCGCGCGACGTCCCGAAACATGAATGGAATGCTTCCTTCGATTCGTCGTGTGCGAGAGAGAGAGAGAGAGGAGAGAGAGAGAGGAGAGAGAGAGAGAGGAGAGGAGAAGGAAGTAGAAGACGAAGGAAAGACGAAGCACAGGAGGAGAAGAAGAAGAAGAAGAAGAAGACGACGACGACGGGTCTGGAATGGGTCGGAGAGGCTCCTCGGTCAGATCAGGGGCGGGGCTATCGATCGTAGGGCCCTTCCAAGGGCTTCCTCAAGGGTCTCTTCTATCGTCGCCATTGCTGATCGTATCGAGCTACATTTCCTTTTTTTTTCTTTCTTTTTTTTTTCTTTCTTTTTCTTTTTCCACTCTTTTCCTCGCAAGAGCCACTCGAATTTCTGGCGTTAGGAAAGAGATAACAAGAGGAAATATTTCTAGACGATCGAGTCTATCCTTAACGCGTGGCACATAATTTGAGGATGCTATAATTCAAACGACGACGACGACGACGACGACGATTCAAAGTTGTAGGAAAAACGTTATCGCGAAAGAACGAGGTGCGTGTATCATCTGCGTACGATTGCTTAAGAATATCGGAATAGGACCGTGGGAAAGAGAGAAAGAGGGTAGGAGGGATAGGGGTAAGGAGAGAGATAGATTATCGTGGTGAATGAAAGAGGCAGGAGATATCCCGATTGTTATCGTGGTAGAACGCAACGTTTATCGTTTCGAGGAGTGGACGTGGACGCCGTCACTGTCGAGAGGGACAAAGAAAAATTCTCTCTTCGCTCTCTCGCATCTGCCAGCAAAAGCGTAGGAAAAGAGGAGGGAACGTAGAAGCCTTAGCTTGCCTTCCAACGACGATTCCACCATATTCGAATTTTCATTCCTCTCGTGTTTTCTTCCCTTTTAAGATACGTCCCTTATGAAAATATTCATTTTAAATCGTATTATTCGAATCGATTCGTATTAATATTTTCACGTTACGTTACGTATTCTTTCCATTCTATAGATTACATCTATCGTATACGCGGTCAGGGAAATTCCTTGAAATGCAACCTGCTGATTCATGGATTTATGGAATGTGCTAAAACGCAGAGAGTTATGAATCCGACGATAAATTATTCGTTATCGTCATGCGATGATTCGTTCGATGAATAGGAAAACTTTCTCTCTCTCTCTCTCTCTCTGTCTCGTTCTCTTTTATTATTCAATCCTACTTTACAAGACTATAAAATATAACCTTCCTTCGGTTCTACCGCGATCATTTAAAGCCTTGGAGAAATGGTTTTCCACGATTCTCAGGACATAGGACGCTATAAATCGATTGGTATGCACGTACAATACGTACGTATACTTTTCGAAATATGACGGAAACGCGCATTCGTTTTCCCTCATCGGATTTGTACTCTGCATCGTCGGAGAAAGAGAGTGAGGGAGAGGAGGGGGGAGGGTGGTGGTGGTGGTGCTGGCGAGGGGGGAAGAAGAGAGAAAGGAAAGAAGAGAGATAGAAAAACAAGAGTATCGTCGATTCGCGAATGCATCGCAACCGAACCGCTAAAAATAATCCTGACCTTTTAGACAACACCATAAACGTTCACATTAATCTGTACAACGAAGCAGTTGTATGGGCTTCCGTTTGGCACATCGAACGGAGTAGAACTTTCAAATCTATTGTACTTCCGTCCGACACTTTTCGTATCACTAACACTTTCTTCTTGAAACGTATAATTTTACATTCGGCTAAACTCTCATTGGATATATTTTCTATGGTTCAGCGATTGTACGTTGAAATATCCATTTATACGTATGAAAAATTAATGTTCGATAATTAATCTATAAATATATAACATATATGATTATCAATGATTCGTTCTCATTATTTCGGTGTCGCGCCGTCAATGGCGTATTTTCTCTCACGATTCCTCGCCCCTTCTCGAAGAAGCAAAGAGAAGAAGTTGGTGCGAGACGAAAGAGAGGAGGTTAGGACAGGCAGTCGGCGTCGAAGGGCCCCGAACCGTAGACTCCTTTTGTGAGCATCAACTTCAGCATTGTGTCGAGGTCTGCGCGACTGCTTCGCTTCGCTTCGTTCCTTTCCTCCCTTCTTTTGATGGCTTATGCGTTCCTACCTCTCTAGTTGTTGTTGTTGTTGCTGTTGCTGCTGCTGCTGCTGCTGCTGTTGCGCTCAAGATACCTTCGACCTCGCCAAACTAGACGTCGGACTGGTTTCTGCCCAATTTAGTTGCCCTACCCCACTACCATCCTTCGCCATTGTTCGCTCCGCTTTGGAATGAAAATAGAGAACTGTACGTTCCGTGATCGAGTTGCATAGGAAAACATCATAACCTTCGAACTACTTTCTATCGCTTAAAACGATCGAGACCTTGCCTCTTCAACATACTATATACGTACATGCCTATCTTTTCCTTTCGATAACTTTCCTTCCTTCTATCTTACTCGAAATATTACTACTTTTAATTACTAGAAATTGTATTCATTGGGATTACCTCGAAATTAAATTACGTAGGAAAATTTCCGTAGAGAATTATGATACGTACGAATCGCTTACGATCACGCGTTCATTTCTTGCACTTGGCGGATATTAAGATCTTTTTTCTTTTTTAAAACTTTCCTTTCGTTCTTTCAAACATTTCGTTCTCTAAAACTTCCTCCATAATTGCGTGTAGCGTTGCGTTGCGTTGCGTTGCGTCGCCATCCTTTTGAATTAATATTTGATAATGTACGTCAAAGGCGCGTCGCGTCGGTAACTCCGATTTCCTTATCGACGAAGAAAAATTAAGACGAAGAATAACTTGTTGATTTACGTCGCTAATCTTCCTTATCGACTGCAGCCGCTGTTATTATACAAATTTATCGTTACGCAATTGCGACATATCGTCGATTTATTTTAAAATTTTATTAAATCTTATACCGACGATTTTGAATGATCGCTCAATAATCTCATTTGAGATTACTTTAGCTTTATCGTCAATCGTCTATAGGTAGCAGCTATATCGCTACTTCATACTCAATCGATAATCCTCTGATTATCGAGAAAAGAATTTTTTCAACTCGTATGGTAAGTCACGCGACGAAGGTTTAAGAAAGTTTTCTACCCATGGATAACATTGGCAATTCCCAATTATCAACGTGATGTGGCGGCGTTGCCTAAATGCAGGTGTTACTTTCGACGTTCCCATAGATAATCATGCAAAAAAAAACAACTGCAAAATAGACACGAATAATTATTATAGTCTAATCAATAAATGAATTTATAATATTACACAGGATAGCAGCGAAGAATCATGCGAGATACACGATTAAATTGAACTTGTTGCTTTTCCTGTATATTTAATTGTCGATTAATTACAAAGTCACTCTTCCTTGTATGCATCCCTCGACGTTATAATTTTTCTGCACACGGAAGAACGGTAGGTAAGACGTAGGTTTTCTTTCCATTTCTTTCCTCTCGCAGGAGAATCGACTACCGACCGTGTAATGCTTCATGGGTACTTGAACAGAATGCAAAAATCCGTTAGACAGAAATGCGATTTTAATTCGCGGCGCGCAGTACGGAGTTGTAACGAGGACAACTCCGTCAAAGTACTAAAAGACAATTCGTAAGAATGGGCGTTACCACGTTGTTGGTCGTGAGGTCGATCGAAGTATTGTTAAAGAAATTGCTCTCTCGATTTATGCGGGCGACCGCTTTCTTTCCGCGTTTGCAACTTCAACCGTTATTGACCTCTCCAAAAAGCTCTGTTCGTTTCAAATATTCGAAAGAACGATTACCCGAGAAAGGGATGATATCACGATTGAAGGGGTATACGCACCCCTTCAAATATTGCAAAAGATTTCTGAAAACGAGACTTATCTTCAAAGAGATTTATCCGGTCTCCGTCGTTTATCTTCGGCGAAACGTGCGAAGAATGGGACGATCTGACGAGAGGAAACGAAGACATTTAATTAACGCTTATCCATTATGTTACATTTGATGAAGAGCACAGAGGAAGTTTAAACGAACCCTCTGTGGCGTTAATTGCTCGAATTCATTAAGCGAAAAGAGGAGATGAGATAAGAAAGTTTCGCGTCTCCTTAACTATCTACTCTTGTCAGATGACGCGAATTATCGCCCCGACAGATATTCCATCGAGAAGATGATTCGATTTCAAACGATAAAAAAGAAATGTCTAAATTTTTAACTACGAGAAGAGAAATATATCGAAGAATCTTCTTCTAGCTGTACGATTTTATAGCTAGACACGGTCTGCTGCAGCAAATGCAAGGAGACAAAGATTCGACAGAGAGAGAGAGAGAGAGAGAGAGAGAGAGAGAGAGAGACAGACAGAGGAGTCCAGCCAAAGCATGGTGGCTTCGATGTGGGTTCGAATCACGAAGAAGTGACGTTGATGCTTTACGGGAGTATAGAAATACGCAACACCATGGCGCGGCCCTGGAATAGTCAAGGTGGGAGAAACCGTGTATGACCGTCTTCACCGTCGACGGCCAGTACCGTGTGAACGACCGTGAAGTAAACCTCGAACGAAACGTGAATCCGATCTTTACTCTACTCGCGCGATACTTTTGAAAAAAATCAAACGAAGGGATCTCGATCAAAATTGTGTTGTTTTTTCCAAAAAGACAAAAGTCTAGCAGAATTTTATTATATTTTTGGTCTAATATTTTAAATTATAATACAAAAATCTGTGTGAGAGTACAAAAATTTGTGTTTGTGTCTTAAAGAGCATCCACATCAAGGGATCTTTCATTAGCAGGATGTAAAGAAGAAGATCACGTTGACATTGATAGTGGTAGGACGAAGAAGAGGAAAGGGAGAGAGGGAGAGAGCAAAGGACGGTCGTGTCTTGGCCGAAAACTTGACGCTCGTTACACCAGACTGTTCCTCGGCAAGTAGGTCAAGCGGTGTGTGCGAGAGTGCGAGACACAGAGAGAACAAGATAGAGAGGGAGGAAAAAGGAGAAGAAGAAATTGAAGAATAAGGATACGTCAAGAGGGAGAGAGAGAGAGAGAGAGAGAGAGAGAAAGAGAAAGAGAGAGAGAGAGAGAGAAAAGAGAGAAAAGAATGGCGGACTATGGCTGTGAAGTAGTCGCTCGCTGATGACGAGTCGAGGCTCGTGATCCAAAATGGCGGCCCTCTATCGATTACACGATTCCTTTCGTATAGGAAATTTAATAGGATTTGATAAAGCTTCTGAATCCTGAAGGAAGAATAATCTTCCAGTTGGCCTTGAAATACCTACCTTCAACAGGACGAACCAATCATCGTCCTCTTTTCTTTCTCTTTCTCTCTCCCACCCTCTCTCTCTCTCTCTCTCCCTCTTTCTTTTCTTCCAACGTTTCGACTACGCCGCCTAGCAGAACGAGGGTCTAACATGTCGAGATTGACCGGTTCGAAGGCCTTATCGGCCTTGACCATTCTCCTCGTAACTGCCGGTAAGTCGCTAAATCGTTGTTGCGGTTGAATGTCTATGATCTATGGGAGAATATAGGGAAGAATGGGAAAAAGAAAGATCGAAAGAAAGATTTATTGTTCTTGTCGAGCCCTTCTCCAAGAGTCGATTTTATTTTACTTTCTTGTTTCTCTGTTCGATCTAGATTTTAATGTTGCAAAAGAGATAGAAAAAGAAAAATGAAGGCAGCATTTATCATAACATAATGTTTTCACGTTTAAAGAATGTCTCGCGTCTTCATTACGCCGATTCGACGGAATTTCGATGCAGGTTGTATACGTTCTGTTAGATTATTTTGAAAGGAACGACAAATACACGAGAAAATGGGAAAAATAATTTGCTATTAGTGCAATGGAGTATAAATTTGAGTCGAGATTCGAGACCGTAAGTGGATCATATCCGCTTCCGGATAATCTGGCACGCTCGCGCTGCTTCAAAAAGACAAACACTTTCTATTCGGAGTCGGTAAATACGACGATCGAACGTCGAAGATACAAATTAAATTGATTCGAAGGAAGAAAATGATTCGCGAAAGTAACGAATAATTATTTTACAAAGTTGACCCAGTACTCGAAAAGAGATATGCAAAGGAGTTTATTGTTTTCATCGAACAAAAGATGGATTAGAAGGGAAATTCACGTTAGAGTCTATTTAAACGACGAGGAGAAAGCTGCATAGAACGTAGACCGTGTT